GTCACAAATCAGTTGGTTCAGTTCAAACCCAGGCCTACTGAAACACGGAGTTTAAAGTAGCCCCATGTTTCTTAAATCTTCTTTAACAATGTCTGATAACTATTTACATTTGGCACCTAATCTAGTGCAAACGTTTTAGATGAATAGGACGGCTACCTAAGTGAAAAGTTCCTGATGAATTCTGAACATCTAGATACTTGGATAAAACTCCCAGCAAATTCCATATTAGTAGAGAAGAAAATGAAGTTGATAGAATACATCAAGAAGTGACATCGGCAACCGATTTCAGTATTTCTTCCAAGAAAACTACCCAGTTATTCCCATGTAGCCATCAGCATCTGAATGTAACTTAAAGAAGACATTATGTTTTTTAAGAGAGAACATAAACTATCTATTCAGACAAAGTGGATAAGAAAGAATAGTATAAAAATGGAGGCATGCCAGTTTTTTAAAGGGAAGAAACTGGATTATGAAATTAAAAAACCATCTTTTTGGTCCATTGGTAATCCTCTGTTAGAAATGAATGGTACTGACAAAAAAAGAGAGAACATTTTCAGTTCACTAAAACTTGCATTATCCCCAATGGCCACAAATAACCAGGCCACTATTTCTTTACTAGTCCCACCCATTTTTCTGCTATTTAACTATATTTTAATTTTTCATTCACTTAATCACAACTGAATAGCTGCAATGTGTAGGCTCATTAACATTCCTTTTGTCTCTGAGTAGGGACAGCTCAAAGAATTTTGCTGCTGAAGGCAGAGTGACGAAGGCGACCTCAGTGTTCTGCAGATCAAGATGCATAATATCCAAGGAGAAGAACCTTACCAGGGTTCTACTGCCTACCAGGCAGTAAATGCTAATTGTTATGGTGGTAATAATTATCTTTCATGACACGTTTTATGACAATACGTATTGCCTTCTGTATAGTGTGATGGCTTCAGCAGTTGCCACAAAATGCCTCCTGATGGGGCTGGCCCTGAAGAAAGGTACTTGCTGACCCACACATCAACAAAAAAACAACAACAAAAACCCTCCTAATGTTTACATAGCCAATATAAGTACAACAGGATAGCCCTCTTATGTGATTAAACTCTTTTATATCACTATTATTGTGTTCACTAGTGAGACTACCATATTTTTCAGAGTATAAGATGCACCTTTCCCCCTTCCTAAAAGGGGGTAAAAATTTAGGTCTTATACACTGAATGTAGCCCCGCCCACCCACTGGCCCCCACCCTTTGGCCTTGCAGCAGTTACCTCCTTGCAAGCAAACAGCAAGAAAAAAACAGCTCCTTTCAGCTTCAGCACAGCCTAATTAGCACAAGTTGATTGGATCGGCCTCCAACTCTCAACTGATTTGCTTTCAGCTGTTTTGCACAGGGGTCTGCTGCTTGCTGCAACGAGGTAAATTGCTGGAGTAGATTTTTTTTTCCCTTGTGCTAATCAAGCTATGCTGAAAATGAAAATGAAAGTAAAGCAGGCTGTTTGCTGTAACAAGGCAAAATTGCTCAGAGGCAGAGGGAGATTTCTTTTTCTTTTCCTCACCAAAAAAGATAGGTGCGTCTTATACTCTGGTGTGTCTTATACTCCGAAAAATACGGTAATTCTTTTTCTAATTTTGGAATTAAAAAAAAAAAGGAATGCAAAAATGTTTTGTCAAACTGTGAAAAAGATGGATTCAAGATGCTCCTGTTGATCCTCTAAATTCTGGCATTTCAGCTCTCTGAATTGTCTACTATACTTGCATGCAAGTTGAAATAAACTTGGCAAATAGCCAAGACTGGACCATGGCTATTATCATATTGTAGCCAGCACAACCAATAGATACCATCAGATGGTAGATATTGTACTGTGGACACTAAACTCTAGTGTTTCTGTCTAATGTTCTTACTGCAAGCTGTGTTTTAAAACATTATGGTTTGGCCTGAAAGTATATGAGTTGGCTATACAACAGAAAGCAGCCACTTAAATACTATTCTTTCCATTTTCAACACACTGCCGTCAATGGAACTTAAGATGGCTGCTGCCTTTCACTAAGACCATTATTGTGCTTTCAACAGCACCAGAAATTTGGCAAGGAAGAGATCATCGCACAGAAAAGCAGAGGAAGTTCACCTGAGTAATTTTGTCCAGTCAGCTATTAAAAGCAATAAGCAACAGGCACAAAAGACAATGTGACAGACTTGTTAAGATGATTAGTTGAAGAATCATTTGAAAGAGAAAGTAATGCTGTAGAGCAGGGGTCTCCAACCTTGGCAACTTTAAGACTTGTGGACTTCAACTCCCAGAACTCTGAGAGTTAAAATCCACAAGTCTTAAAATTGCCAAGATTTGCTGTAAAGTACTATTGCATTTCTTAGCACCCTGCACTCTCTAGGCTCAGGTTCCCAAGTTGATTTGGAGCACAAGGAGTGTCAATGTAGCATCTGTCTCCAATTTCTTAAAACATCATACATTTTGAAGGAATCATATGGGAGTTTTAAATACTGCAGCAACGTGAGTAGAAATGAGAAATCTTTAGAATTTCTGCGGTCCAGACACCATTTAGGGAGTTCCAGGCTACAGAAATTACTCTGGATATGGATTTGAAAGCACTGGAAACAGCTACTGAAAATGAAATTCATCATTCATCAAAGCTTTCTTATGAAGAAAGAAGACCTCTGGTCCAAAATATAGGAGTGGCTTAACAGACTTGATGCAGCAAATGGGTGTTTCTGTGCTAAATTTTAAAGACGGTATGTCCCAAGAGGATGGTCCCATAGATTGACCTATTATACTGCTCATCAAAGTGATTATCCATGCTTCCTCCCTTTAGTGTTTTTTAATTGTTATGATGTAGATATTATCAAATGGATGCTTAATTTCAAGAAAGAGAAAAAATGATGGCTCTCAAGAGTCTTTGAAGTCATGTGCTCCATATTCCATAAATGCAGAAACTGGCTTGTGGTTTTTCAGCAGTGGGACAAGGAGGCGGCATACTGGAGCCAGAGACAAAAGTAACAGTAGGGCCATAATGTAAATTACACAGATAGAAGGCTCCAGGTTCAATCTCAGTATTCTTAAGTATTATTGAGGCTGGATAAACATCCATTAAATATCTGCCAGATCAACAGTACTGGTCCAGATGCACCAAGGATCTGAATCAGAGATTAGAACTGCACTAAGTCATAGTTTGATTGATAAATCACAACTGGTTAAGTTCACCCACATTAGGCTATGACTTACTGACTTCAATGAATTTAGCCAAGCACATCAAATCACAGGTTTATTTGTTCAACGTTTGCCTAAAATATGTTTAGAATTTGTCAGTGTGATTTGCAAAGCCAGCCAAGACAGTTACATTGTACTTTAATTTGTTCAAACTAAGATTTAATACAGGTATGTATGTTATCCATTACACTGTTATGCAAACAATACAGGCTAAGACTAAGCCTGTTGTAGAAATCCAGTCATTATAACAGTCTAAGGCCATTTTATGGCCATATCCAGCCCTTTGGCTGTCTGAGTCCAGCCTGCATAGATAGCCTCCATTTTGAAGGTGACTCCTTTTTTTCTCTCTTCAATTTACATATGAGTGTGCCTGTATGCCTATGCAACTTCACAGCCCTATTAGTTCAGGCCTACACAACAGTCCCAGGTTCTCATGTGGGCCTTTGGGAAAATTAACTGCCCAGCGCTGCATTATAAGCAGCTTCCCATTTCTTCTATAGGCTCTTGACAAATCTTCTCTGGAGCATCCTACTGGAAAACAGGATGCAGGTGTCTTTGTGGTCCAGCCTAGATGGGCTGTACTCTCACTCCTTTTTACGCAATACATGCAACAAAAACCAGTTTAGAGAGAATGCTTGTCAGGATCTGCCGTTTTATGGTACCTTGAGGAAAGCCCTCAAACCTGGCTCAAGTTAAGCCCTGCAGGCTGCAACAGCTGTCCTTCCCCCTTCCGCTGCGAAGTAGACTCCGCAGACAGATGCAACGGGAGGAAAGGTTTCTGGACTCTCTCCCTCCTTTCAAAGCCAACGAAGGAATGATGGGGGGGGGGGGGGGGAGTGTTTGTTAAGCTCTGGGTAGGCCTGAGACGGAACGCCCGGAGCTCTCCTCCTCGCGGCGGAGACAACCCAGGAAGTTCTCTATCTGGTCGCAGACGGGGAAGTGGGGGGAGGGAGAGAGACTTGACCAGCGGTAGGGTGTGTCCTCTTTCCCGTATCTCGCTTCCTGCTTTATTTGCGCAAACCTTTCCCAAAGGAGCAGCAGCCGGCTAGCAGAGCGGGGAGGATGGTGGGGAGAGCGAGAAATCACCTGGTTACGATGCCACCTGGGAGCTAGTAAGAAAACCCGAAAGCCACCCGAAAGGCGAAAATACATTTTTTTAAAAAAAAAATAAATTAAAAAGTGTCTACCTGCACCCATCGCCGCCCTCATCTCTTTTGCAGGAGATCACAGGGCTTCTCCGTTAATGGCAGGTTTGCCTATTAGCCATCGCCCCCGGATAGTTCCCACAAAGCAGACGGGGAGGCTGCCTGTTTTCAAAGGCGAAGCGAGGCGGACCGGTGGGAAGCCACCCTCAGACTTCGATCTATCCCCGTTTCTCCTTGGCGCGCTGCCTTGGCGAGCAGCCCGGCCTCCAACTCCCCGGATGCTCTTTCCCAGGCAGAAGCGACGTCGCAGCCCACCCGACAGCCCAGAGAAAGGGGCGAACCGGCGCCCCAGCGACGGAAGAGTTGCCGCAATAGAGTCGGGCCAGAACCTGGCTCGTCTTCCCCCGCCTGAAAGGAGACCGGTCGGGTGCAGCGAGCCCACAAGCGCAGGGCTTGGGCAGCAGCCGGCCGCATTCAGCCCGTCCCTGTCGCCGCGCACGCAGCGGCCGAGGCTTTCCAAGCACCTGCCGCAGCGAGCCGGGGGCACCGCGCGCAAACGCTCCCTTGGCCGCGGCTATTTTGCAGGAGGCGAGCCGGATGGGGAGCAGGGGAGAAGGCGGGAAAGCGCGCCCGGCCACTTACCGCTTTGCTCGCCTAGGAAGACCAATTTGAATTTTCTAAGCGGGTTCCCGAAATCGCCTCCCGTAGTCATGATGCGCCTGGCTCGGCAGAGGGCTGCGCCGGGAGGAAAGCGAGGGCAGGGCGGGGAGAAGCAGCGTCTGCAGACTGGCTCCTTTGCTCAGGGCGACCCTAGCGCTCCCCTGCCCTCGCCACCAGCGGAGGGAGGCTCCGACCTCGGCGTTCTTACAGGGGAGCCGCCAGAGCCGGGCCCTTGACGGGCAAGGACGCGAGTCCGCACCGAGGAGGGCTGCGGGAGATGCTGGAGCGAGCGCGCTGCTCTCGGCCGCCTGCTGCCGCTGCTGCTCCTGGATGCCGCCTGCCAGCCGCTCGCCTCCCTCCCCAGTCCGCGGCGCCTGCGCTCTGGCCCTATCCCGGCCAGCCTGATGTCATGCTGGAGCGCCAGCAGTCCAATGCGGTGCTGCAGGAGAGGGGTGTGCTTGTGCATAGACGAACCCGGATTGCTGGTGGGGAGGGAGGGGCTCGCGGGTGTCTGTGATCCCGAGGAGAGGGTGATCCCAACCCCTGAAGGAGCTGGCTGCACCTTCCCGAAGGAACAGAGGCCCAACGGCTTCTCTCGCCTCTCATTCACACCTCTCCCCCTCCCCCGCATCGAACCGGCACCTGCGGGGAGTGAGCAGGTGCGACAGAAGCCACAAGTGTGTCTCTTGAGTAGGAAAAGGCAGACGAATTGGCTGGCTGATGATGAAATTTTTCCCAGCCCCGGATTTGGCACTAAATGATCCTGAATTATAATTCTTTTCTGGTGGTTTTAGCAATACCAGTTACTAATGGAGATTTATCCTATCTATCTATCTATCTATCTATCTATCTATCTATCTATCTATCTATCTATCTATCTATCTATCTATCTATCTATCATCGCAACAGAGGTGGGTAAACAGGTATATTGGTAACAGGCACAACTCTGGCATTCCCTGTCTGTATTTGTTGGGTGTGGCAATAGAATGAGGGGTAGTGAACAGATGAGATAGATGGGCAAAAAGTGAGCATTAGTGACCTCATGGATTAGGGGCTAATCCTTATTAAATGCACGAGTACTCGTATTTTATACTTGTTCAATGATATGAAATCCTTTGATATTTTTACAATCAAATAACATGAAATAAGAACCCTGTGTTCCTAATGACAGCCAGTTTGGTGTAGTGGTTAAGGCACCAGGCTAGAAAGCAGGAGAATGTAAATTCTAGTCACACTGTAGGAACACAGCCAACGAATGACCTTGGTCCAATCACTCAATCTCAACCCTAGGAAGTAGGCAATGGCAAACCTCTTCTAAAAAGTGTTGCCAGGAAAACTGCAGGGACTCATCCGTGAAACACACTTATTCAAAGTCACCTCCTTCCCCCAAAAATTCTAACATAAATTGGGCAGCACTTTGCATTTTAATAGTCTAAATTTACAGAATAATGGAGATGGAAGGGACCTTGGAGATCTTCTAATCCAACTCCCTGCTCAAGCATTCCAGATAAATGGCTGTCCAATCTCTTCTTAAAATTTAAAATTGATTGCAGAAAATACGACTTCAACAACAGAGTTGTATACCTATACAACGAAATTCACTTAATACCCAAAGACCAGGTCCAACACACATAACAATCCCCAAACACACTCCCACCTACCACAAATTCCCCACCTCTAAACCACCCAAACATCCACACAACAGACCAAGTAATGCCGTCCAACAGCTCACTAATGGTGGCCCTTTAGTTCATTGTTGAGTGCAATTATAGCTCTGTGATAAAAAGTATTCAGAAAACATGTGGTCCGAGTTTTAATTGTTCTGTATCTTCTGCCAGAAGGCAACAGTCCAAAAAGATTGTAAGCAGGATGGGAAGAGTCTCTGAGAATGTTATGCAACTTCCTCAAACAGCGAGATTCGAATATGTCGTCCAGGGCTGGTAGCTGGAGCCCGATGATATTCTGAACAGTTTTAATGATTCTCTGTAGAGCTTTTTTGTCCACTACAGAGCTGCTCCAATACCATGCAAGAATGTTGTATGTCAAGACATTCTCAATGGTGCTGCGATAGTAGGACAGAAGTAGATGCTGAAATAGATTTATCTTCTTGAGCATTCTCAGGAAGTACAGCCTCTTCTGTGCCTTCTTCACAAGAGGCTATACTTTCTGAGAATGCTCAGGAAGATAAAGACTTGAAGAAAATGTTACTTTTAAGTGTAGAGGTCCAGTCTGAAAGTACTATTAATATTACCGGTACAAGGTTCTCCAGATCAATCTGGAGCTCTGTTATCAGCTGCAGATGCCTTCCAGCAGGCATCTGAAGACAAAACAGAGGCCGGGGCAATGCATGTGAGTGGTGGCAAGCAGACGCAGAAGAAGCGGCTGCAGAAGAAGGTGAGGCAGGTGTCAGGGTGTGCGAGGCCTGGTAAGTAGGGCAGCTCCACACACACACCCCATTCCTACTGTAGCTTATTTTTTACCTATGTGCCTCGCCCCACTCCCTGCACCCGGGGTAGGTGGGGTCTTAATTAGAGCTAATTTTGTGTGGGGGCTTAATTTGATTGTATGCGCTCAAAAACGTGATAGGGCTTCTTTTCAAGGTGGGTCATCATGGTATGTCTACTTTTCATAATAGATTCCTACAAGCAGCAAACAGTATTTCATTAAGTACATCTTGGGTGCCTTGGACTTCGTCTAAGTCTTGTAGTCTACCAATATTGAATGACTTTCAGTCCTTGGTTGCTTATAATAAATGGGTTATGTGTAGGCTGAGGACTGACCAAACCAGCTTGTGATGTATCCAGCATTCAGCACTTCACATGACATGGTGACATCTTTTAATATCTCACTAATATACTATGACATATATTGCAAGTAGGTGCCAGTGCTTGGATCTGGCAGTTTTGTACTTATGTATCAACCAGGTAATTTTGTATTTGTTGGCAAGTCTGAACATAGTGTTTGTGATGAGTTGACAAGTTGAATTCAGCATATTTGCTCAGAAATAAGCCATTGTTATTTTGTTTTCCCATCTTGTATCTTCCAAAGCTCTCTTCCAGTTGTCACTGTCTGTGTCCACCCTAGCACTGAAGTCTCCCAGAATGATGAATTTATCACTGCTGGCGTTTGTTTGAATAATCTGCTCCAGGTTGTTGTACAAAGCTTTCTTCCTCTGGACTTGTGAGAGTTGGTGCATGGGCATTGAGAATGGTGAGAGTTGCTGACAGAAAAGCAGAACTTTATTATGTGTTCAAAATTCCGGTGGTTAAAGTTGGATGTTCTTCAGCAGAACAGCTTTGATTGCAAAACATTTGTTCTAAAATGCCTTGGCCTTCTCCCCATGTGTGGACTCAAAGGAGGAGAACATAAGATGTAGGTATAATAGAGTTCGCTAAGTAAGGCATTGAGGAAACACCAAATCCTAGCTGTTAGAATATTAAGTTAGGATATACTCTCCTAACTACTGGATGCTTCCTACCCACATTTTAATTATCTGTTCGTTTTGTTAGGTATCCAGATTCATTTCCTGAAATATATGAAGGTACATCCTCTGTCTGTTGGATTTCATACTATTTGTGAACCTTATTTATGACTGGAAAGATGCCCATAGAATAATGGACATGTATCAAAAGGAAGCAATAAATGGAAGGGGGAAATGCTACTCTCAACTTCCTTTTAACACTGCAGCTTGGAGTTAAAAGGAAAACAAGAATGTGAAAATTTTTTAATTTCTAGTATTTATTTGAAAGCCAACAATGGGATTGATTATTCTTTATAGAACATGCTTAAAAACTTTGCTCTGTTCTTGCATAATTATATAATAAATTACGTTTGACTTTAGGATCTATTAAATAGTGTAAACTGCATAGGTAATGAAGCTCTGTGGTCCAATCTAGATTAGTGGCACATTTTCTGGGCTTTCTTTTTCCTTTAGAAACCAACCAAGACACTGATTTATCTGCTGTTTAGCAAAATCTAATTGCTTGTTTGTTCAGTAAAGCAAAATGATTGTGCATGTTATATAGGTCAAATATTAAAGCACATATTTCTGTTGCAGGAATATCCCCTTTCCCAGTACTCCAAGTTAAATTTCTTGCTGCTGTGAATAAAAATAAACAAATATTTGAATTCTCATTGTTCACTCAGTTTCAGTTTCTTGTTGAATTTATACATTGCCTTTTTACAATTTACTTTGGCCCTCTTTCTACCCTTCTATTTTTCATCACTTACACATAGTGTTGCACTTGACAATATCTGATTGATTTGCCTTTCTTTTCTCTTCTGATAAATAACTTCCCTAGCCAAATGTTGAAACTATTCTACATGTTTTAGAGATCTTGAAAGGATTTTTGTTTGATATGGCTTTTCCCCAATTAGAACAACAGCAACAAAGGAAACTGTAGCTGAAAGGATCTCTTTTCTCCCAAGGTCATAAAAATCACAGAATTCAAGCTGCCCATTTAGGTCAAGTTCAATAATCAGAACAGAACCAACAGTGCAATTATTGTCCCAGAACAGGACTTTTTGAAGTGGTGAACTATTTTTAGCATCTAAAGTGAACAATACCCAGACATGTTTGTAGGAATTTTGGTAGTTCTGCATTACAAATATTGTCCTCTTCTCCCAAAGTAAGTTGCAGAAGAAAGGGAATGCTAAACTATAATTTAACTAAAACCTACCATGGGTGGGCTACTTGGAGGATAATCTTGCTGTTATGAATTCTAATCCCTATCAGCCCCAGGCAGAATTGCCAACTAACTTGAGGTACAGACTTCTCTAGCTTAAAATTATTTGGAGTCTTTAGAATATCTGAGAGAACAGGACTGTGAAAAGTGTCATTCTGGAAATAATAAATGTAGGAAATGAGACATTGGCCAAATGTTTCTGTCTTTGATTTTATTTCACCTGCTGTGCAGCAAAGGTATGTAACAGTACTGAGCACTCATGGGGTGGGAGAGCGACCATTCTTAAAAAAAATCACACATAGGCAAATAAATAGAAACACATTTATATAAGCTAGCTTGATCAGCTGTTTGCTAGACAAATGTCTAGCAAAAAAGTTCCCATGACACTGAAGAGGCAGTGTCCTGCTGTTTGGATATGAAAAATATCTCCCAAAACTTGAAAGGAAAATCCAGTAGAAATCAACAATTCTCCAGTTGCACCTAACCACAACATAGACTTGCCCTGGCAACATCTTTTTTGTGATGTATTGTCATGAAGTTGCCTTCATATCACCCTTGTCTGTACCAGGGCCCACCTGAAATAATCCTTAGTTATTTTGATTTTAAAATATTTCCTCTCTTAAATTGGCCACTCTCAAGGTAAGTCAAAGGTGTGAAAAATCTGACTATTCTCAATTATTCTGCAAGTGGCTCAGCTGAATGACCAGGTAGAACTAAACATGTAAGAACTTTCAAGATGTTGAGGCCATTTATTCTTCCACTCTTATGTACTATTAATTTATTACATTGATAGCAATCACAGATGCATTTTTGGTTTCACTCCTGCTTAGCTTATTCAAGTTGTCTTCTTTCACACTGATATTCCTTGATCCATTGTTTGGATGTGATGGAACTGAACTTATCTTCCCTTTACCCTATCTCCCCAAAGAAGCAGGCTCTCTATAGCATATCTGCAAAAATTACATGTGATACACACTTTTCCTAGTTGGAGGATCACACTTGCCCGTTGAATGGCATTATTCTAAAGAAATTTGGGATGAAGCTAGAACAAAAACTAAATTGTATTTCATTTCATTTCATTTCTAATTGAAGTTAATTAAATATAATTCATATGAGTATATATGGGTTATGTTTAATAAATGTTTTCAATAAATTGAATAAACTGAAATTTAATAAATAATAATAAACTGAAACACCAGACTCCAAATTTTGGGCTTAGACAACTTAGAACTACGCCGACTTCAGTCTGACCTAAGCATAGTACATCAATTTATTTGCCACAATGTCCTTCCTGTCAATGACTACTTCAGTTTCAACCACAACAATACACGAGCACGCAATAGATACAAACTTAAAGTGAACCGCTCCAAACTCAATTGCAGAAAATATGACTTCAGTAACAGAGTGGTCAATGCCTGGAATGCACTACCTGACTGTAGTTTCTTCCCCAAACCTACAAAACTTCAACCTTAAACTGTCTACTGTTGACCTCACCCCATTCCTAAAAGGTCTGTAAGGGGCGTGCATAAGTGCACCAGTGTGCTTACCGTCCCTGTCCTAATATTCCTTTTTACTTACTCTTTTCAAGTATTCAAATTATGTTTATACTTTTACCTGTTATCTTATATATGCTTGACAAATAAACTTATGACTTAAATTTATAGTTTGGTAACAACCCATCTTCTAGCATTTACCAAATCTGGGAATAAAAAATGCCATTATCTGCTTGCTACAAATTCCTCCACTGAAGTTGCTCCTCCAGTAGCTAGATCAAACAGAAGTCTCTTCAGTCTTAATCAGCAGAAGTAAGATTTCTTTGCTGAGCTGGCAGTTCATTTTGGTTACTTTTTAGTTATTGGTGAGATAAAAATGGATCTGCTGAACAGCAAATGGCATAGTTATCAGAGAGGCATTGAAAAGAGTTAATGAAGCACCTTGCTAAGCAGATGGCCTCTTATCCTGATGTTACAGACACCTCCATACAAATTTGTCACCTACACGGTGTTTTATTAGCTCCCTTTGAAATACTGACTGGAACAGGAAAAACATGCTAGATATATATCACAATGCACTCCCCCTTCTGGTAATGGAATCATACTGTAGATGTTGCAGACTTGTATGAGGACCATTGAAGATGAAGGCAATCCATAGCTCTGAATGAACCAGTGGCCAAGAGCTTTTCCCTATCCATTTAGTTTCAACTTGATTTTCTCTTTCACTCTCCATCATCACCACATCCTTATTCTTTCTTCTCTTTAAATTTGAGATTTCCACTTATCTCCATAACATCAAAGAAAATCCTTTCTTGCCCTTATTGGTGGTATGTAGTTTTCTCAAACTGAAGTCCTGTACTAGAGACCTGGGAATTTGAAGATTCTCTGCAATATCTTAGCTGTTCCTAATGCTGCACTCTTCTGGAGAGGGAGCTATGATGTCCTGGGATCTGTTGTAGGAGTCACAGACCCAAGTGCTCCTACCACTACTTTGGCTTTTACTTTCCACATCCTCTTTAATTTCTTCTTCAGGCTCTGTTACTTCTCCAGTTTCTTGTACTACTTCTTCCTGATATTGCTGTCAATTGATACTGTTACATCCATTACCACCTCTATCTTTGGGTGGTAGGTAGATAGACACCTTGTCTATTACCACAATGTCTGGTTGATTGGCCAATACCTGGGATGTCCGTAGATCTGCCTGGATCTGGAAGTCTCATGGGTTCTAAGGAATGTCCCATTTGGACTTGGGAGGGTTTAGCCCATACATTGATGCAGATGTTCATGTACACAATGCCAGCTACTTGATTGTGCCATTCAATGTATTATATTCTATCATGCATTCCACACCGTGTCATTATTTATTGGACTGTCTCTGGGGCCTTTCTGCCTAAGTCTCTGAGACTCTGTCCCTGGGTCTTAGATTCCTGCTTCTATGGATCTGAGTTTTGGTACCTATTCTTGTGCTGCTTTGATCAGACTCTCACTGTTGTCTTTTAATCCAGTCCTTTCCAGCCACTGATAGGATTTCCCAATGTCTGACATCTCAGCTATCTTTGATGTACATCCTATTCAGGTTTTGACTTGCCACAGCACTTCTTTTGCTTGATCTTTCTCTCATGTCTGTTGGTATCTCAGGCATTCTTTAGCAGCTCATCTTTGGATGCCATCTTACCAATGTACTCCTGGATGCTCTGGGGTTTGTCTAGGACAGTAGTTTTGAAAGTCATCAAACCCTCTTTCTGGTTGGTATAAAGTTTTTTGGTGTTGGACTTGCAGTGGAAACTTCTGTGCATTGTGAATATTTCCCAGGTTTTCACATTGGCAGGTTCTACATATTCCCCTCAGTAACTTACAGGGTATCTGATAACTGGCAGGACATATGTGTTGATGGTGTGATTTTTTTCCCTTTCCATTGAGCTTGTCTTATCCTTTGTCAATACTTGGTATTTGAATGTTGCTGTCTTCCTTATATCTTTCTCATGGTTCCCATGTGGCTGTCGGATACCAAAGTACTTTTAGCTGGTCTATATGTCTACTATGTGGCCCGCTGGTAGTTCCCCCTCCCCCCATCAGTCTTAACTACGTTCTTTCTCTTTATTACTATCTCCAGTCTAAATGACATCCCAATATCCTCACTGTAGATCCACATTAGGTCAATCAATGTCTCACTTACGTGACACCATCAATGTACAGGAGGTGGCTGATTATAGTTCCATTATTGAACTGATACTAATACTCATAGTATCTGGTTCTTGTGATAATCCAGCCAAGGGAACATATGCAGAGGAGCAGTGGGGACACTGCATTATCTTGTTATATGCCTCACTTAATAGCCATTTATGTGAGCTGTCTTGAGTTGACTCTCAGTGTTGTCTCCCACAGTCCTCTTGGGGAAGATCCTTAGTGTCCTATTGACTTTGTGTAGTGCCAGGCATTCACAGATCTGTCTGTTTTCCCCTGAGGCTCTCCTGTAGTCAATCCAGGTTGTGCTCAGATTGGTCTGTCTAGATCTTGAGTGTTGAGGATGGCTCTATTTATCTATAAGCATCTGGTGTTTTGAGCTTTTGGTGTTGTTCCAAGTGCCTTTCTGAGCTGTGCTCATGTAGTGGCACATATGGTCCTGTAGTTTGATGGCTATGGTACCTGATAGGATTTTCCATGTTTTGTGAAGATAGGCTAATGGACAATAATTGGACAGTGCTGTTCCTTTGTGGTGGTCTTTTATGATCAGCAATATCCTTCCTTATATTAGCCAATCTGGGTGGGACCCTGGTGCTAGCAGCTGGTTCATCTGTGCTATTAGGTATTCATGCACTACTGTTAACCAGCAGGTGTAGTTCATGTCTGGATCAGCTGCTATATAGCATTTCACGTTCTTGAATTACTGTTGGCTATCTGCTACTGCGATTGTAACTGGTTCCTGTTGTGGGAGATTGTATGCTCTGCAGCCACCTGGTGCTATGTGTCTTCTCTTTCTCCCATACGTTCTTCCAGTACTGCTGTTATTGTGTTGCACTGCTGTTAGGTATACACCATGGATGGTTGTTTGGAGAACAGGGCATTTGTCTTCTTGACATCTGCTTCTCTAGTGTTATCTCCTTAGGTTGGTAGCCAGGACTGTAAACCTTTGTTTAGCAGTCTCTAGATCTTCGGATGGAGTCAGATCCTTGTGTTTTTTCAGTATCTGAGTTTTATTCTTTCTTCTCCTATTTTCAACCTGAGGTTTCCACCTATCTCCCTGACATTACACACACAACCATCCATCCAGATTTCCTGTTCCTCACACCACAATCTGTAAAATATGATTTACAGTTATATAAAGCTGGGGTTTTTTTAATGTTAAAGTAATGAAGACAGATTGTAGTATAATCAAATTATATGCTTTCAAACAGCAAATGCTTAGAGGAACAGTAGGAAGACATGAGAAGTATAAAATTATATTATACAACACAATCTAATCTATATGGGTGCAGAGATGCTGCTATCTTGGACTAAATAAAGATATAGCTGTCAATCTAGTAAGCTTCTATATAGAAACAGAAAGTATTGCAATTCTTTTAGGCATGTCCTATTTACTTATGTAGCAACGAGGTTTAGTTGCATCTTCTTCTCTGATTCAGCAATTCTCTTTAATTCCTGTTCCCTGAAATCTGACTGGAATCTTCTATTGATCTGAATGTAATTTCAGTTCCCAAACCTTCTAAGATCTGCAGATCAAGCTATTTGTTACAAATCTAGTTACAAGGAACATTTTTTACTTCTATTGCAATAAAATTAGTTTGCTTTTTAAAAATGTGTTTTAGACATGTTGTAAAAACACAGAAGATTGGGCTGAAGGCGCAATGCTAGACTTATAAGCGGTGGCTGAAAGAATGCTTTAGATGCAGTTTTAGAACCCTGAAAACGTGGCAAATTATTAGTAGTTTCATATATTTATTAAACTGAAAACTATTTAACTTTCCTTTCAAATGTCAAAATTTTCTTTATGGTTTTCAGATATATGGATTTTGCAACATATAAAACATGCAATAATTAACTACTCAACTTTGCTTTGAAAACAAATTTATTATGTATATCAAAAGTGTATGTTGTACATGTGTGTGTTTACAATAGCAGCAGAAGGAATGGTACTGTACACTTGGACATAAAAACACATATAGCTCTCCAAACCATTTTCCTATCCAAATTGTACTATTTTATTTTGCCATCATAGGGTTCCCAAATAAATGTTAAACTTAGTAGAAACTAGAAATGAGGTGGGGTGGGGGCGTTGTTTGGGTCAACTGAACAGTGAATAATGTTTAAACTCCCATTGCCAACCCAACGCTTAAAATTACATCTTCTTATGCCTTGCAAGTTAAAATGACTCATGTGGTTTTCTCTCACTGGCTCTGTTTACAATATGTATTTCATTTTCTTATTGTTCATAAAACCAAAAATCAGCAAAAAAACAAGCTGTACTTTAAATTGCTCTATTGCTCAGTTTTGGCACGCAGTATAAGAAAACAACTCTGAATGTTAAGCATAACAAAATATAACTGTCATAAATCAATGTGCCACTAGGTGGTGGTACAACATTTCTTTGTGGTAAGTTTTTTTTTAATGCAGATATTAAAAAACAAACAAAGGTTTGAAGGAACCACCATATTTATGGAGCTGGAAAATGACCTACACTTTCCTCAAACTTTATAGTTTTGTAAACATGTGCAGTTGTTCCCCAATTGTGCACCGCTCTCTTTAAGGCATGCTTCCTAATCAGTTTATTAATCCAGTCGTTTATTTGCATCTTGCTCTTTAGTGTCCTCAAGCAGAATAGAGAATAGAACACTCACTGTGATAAGTGAGTCAAATCTCAAGCAAATATAATGCCGCATAAACTAAACAGCATATTAGTGGTTTTAGATTTAAGAAACTTAACAGACTTGGCTCAGTGGCTAAGACACTGAGCTTGTCGATCAGAAAGGTCAGCAGTTCGGCAGTTCGAATCCCTAGTACAGGTCTCATGCGTGAGCAGCGGGTTGGATTAGATGACCTCCAAGCTCCCTTCCAACACTGTTACTGTTACTTTATCTTTTTGTCTCCCCAAGTACTCTTCAGTTTTGGGAAGTGAGGGAAAGACCAAAATAACAAGTTTTAAGTTAAAGAGAAAGTAACATGAGAAATGTATTTCTTGATGAAATAGCATAGATTTTCATTACTGTAATTGAAAGCTGTCCCTTGACTAAAAATATTCATAGAATTAAAATTTGGATTAGTACCATGTCAAAAAATTCCAAAGTCAAACACATATATGCCTCTAGCAACCAGAAGGCTCAAAGGCAGGGAAAATATTGGAAAAAGTGGCTTCTTCAAAATCTGCCAGTAAAAAAACAGTAAGAACGAACTAGAAAAAAGTTTTTTTTATTTAAAAGTGTACATGTCATAACAACCAACTTTATACATCGACTGGGATTTTTATCCATTCTGGCCTGTATAGTGAAGGAAGTAAAGGAAGAAGCAAAGGCATGAGAGAGGGCAGACAAGTTGAGATTGCTTCTCCCTTGGTCCCGTCCCTTTGGCAAGCCTGGATAATGCGTCAAAGTTGATTGAGTAGAACAGTCTAAGACCCCATAGCCAAATTGGATGGTTTCCTCCTGCTAGCAACTTTTAAGTGACTCATACGATTCTTTTCAGTGTAACAGTTTTCACTTGCCATCTCCATTGTTTTGACATAAAAGCAAGAGAACCCGTTGTCTTCCAAACATCTGTACATCTCTGGCCCAGTCTTGAAGATGCCTCTACCACTGTAGCCAAGGGGGGAGGTTCTCTTTTGCTGGCTGTAGGTGTTCATTTCAATGCCTCTCAATGAGATGAGTTGGCTGTGTGATCTCTGTTCCCCAATACAAATATATTCTTTTAGCTGGACTACATGCAGCAGAAACTGTTCAAGTTCAGCTGCGAATATAAAATGGTGCCTGTATTGTAAAAAAATAAAAATAAAATAAAAGGCACAAAGGCCAAGTTAATAAGTAAATTTAATCATCATACAAAATGATGCTTGAAGCAGGTCTTGTTGTAGTGTAGAGCTATTCTGGGTGAACAGCTTTATCTTGCATATTGTATTGCTTGTTCCTGGTCAGCTTCCAGCTGAGGAAAGATAATAGCAGAATGCCAATAATTTTGTAGCTAACTTGGAGGCCTAAGTACCTGGAATAATAAAGAGAGAGAAAGAGAGAGATCATTTCTTTTGAAATGCAACTTACCACATTTGTAGGGATGCAATAATAAAACTTTTCTGAATGACTGAGAAAAAATGAGTCATTTGCAAAACATATTAAACTAACCAATGCTGAATTTGAAACAAAATGTTTTGAACTCCAAACAGTTACTCGAGTACAAAGCAAATGTTTCACTGAAACTGGCTATTTCAATAATTTTTAAGTGTTTCAAAATGCTCTGTTTTAAGCTCTGTACACTTCCAAAATGATTCAAGTCAGATCTGAATGCAGAAATATGAACTTCAGTTTCTATGAAAATGGAAATTCCAGAACTGGGTGTGAGTTTTGACAGTGAGAACAATTAATCCAGTGGAATGGCTTGCTCCAGAAATTGTAAGTGCCCCATCACTGGAAGTTATCAAGGAGACACTGGACAGCCACTTGTCTTGAATAGTACAAGGTCTCCTGTTTGAGCAGGGGGTCAGACTGAAAGACCTCCAAGGTCCCTTCCAAACCTGTTATTCTATGTAATTCTATGTTGTCAAGAAAAGAAAGCAGAAGGGGGGGGGGACTCCTCTTTAAGGGACAAAAAACAGTTTTATTTATTTATTTATTTATTTATTTATTTATTTATTTATTTATTTATTTATTTATTTATTTTATTTTATTTTATTTTATTTTATTTTATTTTATTTTATTTTATTTTTATACCTTTATACCGCCTTTCTCCTGTAGGACTCAAGGCAGTGTACAGTCAAGAAAAATATAGACACACAAACATCATAAAATTGCTAATTAAAATTATTACTTAGTTTGGTCAATTAAATAAAACCCAGAATTAGATCACATTTAAAAAATCATTCACATGTTCATATGTTTAGCCCCACCTGTTGGAACATCAGGGTCTTGAGGGCACGGCGGAAAGCACGGAGATCAGGGATATTCCGTATCTCCGGGGGCAGTTCATTCCAAAGGGTTGGAGCCCTCACAGAGAAGGCCCTCCCCCGGGAGTCGCCAGTCGACATAATTTGACTGACGGTACCCTGAGTAGTCCCTCCCTGTGAGAACGAACTGGTCGGTGGGAGGCTATTGGTGGCAAAAGACGGTCTCGTAGGTACCCAGGTCCTAAGCCATGGAATGCTTTAAAGGTGATAAATAACACCTTGAATCGCACCCGGAAGACCACTGGGAGCCAGTGTAGCTCGCGTAGGAGAGGTGTTACATGGGCGCAACGAGCTGCGCCCATAATCACCCGCGTGGCTATGTTCTGGACCAGTTGGAGCCTCCGGGTGCTTTTCAAGGGGAGCCCCATGTAGAGAGCATTACAGTAGTCCATATGGGAGGTAACTAGGGCATGAGTGACCGTGCGCAAGGCGTCCCGATCCAGAAAGGGACGCAACTGGCGGATCAGGCAAACCTGATAAAAGGCACCCCTGGCCACGGCCGTCAAATGATCTTCTAAAGATAGCCGTGAATCCAGGAGGACACCCAAGTTGCGGGCCCTCTCTGTGGGGAGCAAGATCTCATCCCCTATTGTCAGTGATGGTACCAGCTGACTATACCGGGACGCCGGAAGCCACAGCCACTCGGTCTTGGAGGGGTTGAGTCTGAGCTTGTTTCTCCCCATCCAGATCCGCACGGCCTCCAGGCAACGGGACATCACAGCAAGGGCATCATTGGGGTGGTCTGGGGTGGAGATGTATAGCTGTGTGTCATCAGCATACTGATGAACACTCACCCCGAAACCACGGATGATCTCGCCTAGCGGTTTTACATAAATGTTGAACAGAAGGGGTGAGAGGACTGACCCTTGCGGCACTCCACAAATAAGGTGCCTCGAGGTCGACCTCTGCCCCCCTGCCAACACAAACTGCAAACAGTCAGAGAGGAAGGAGGAGAACCACCGAAGCACGGTGCCCCCTATTCCTAACCCCTCTAGCCGGTGCAGTAAGATACCATGGTCGATGGTATCAAAAGCCGCTGAGAGATCTAATAGGACCAGGATAGAGGAGCAACCTCTGTCCCGAGCCGTCCAGAGATCATCCACCAACGCGACCTATGCCGTTTCCGTGCTGTATCGTGACCTGAAGCCCGACTGGAACAGATCCAGATAGACAACTTCATCCAGGTATCGGGGTAGTTGTCGCGCCACCCACTCTCAACAACCTTCGCAACAAAGCGAAGATTGGAGACTGGACGATAATTTGATAATATAGCCGGGTCCAGGGAAGGCTTCTTGAGGAGGGGCTTCACAACCGCCTCTTTCAAGGAAGCGGGAAAGACACCCTCACTCAGAGAAGCATTTATAATCCCCTGGAGCCAGCCTCGTGTAACCTCCCGGGAGGCCAGTACCAACCAGGAGGGACACGGGTCCAATAAACATGTGGCAGCGTTAAGCTTGCCCAGAATCCTGTCCACGTCCTCAGGAGTCACAGAGTCAAACTCTTCCCAGATAACGCTCTCAAGACCTGCCCCTGTCTCCTCCCCTGGGTTTACCCAATCGGAGTTCAGGCCTTCCCGAATCTGAGCAACTTTATCATGCAGGAATTGTACAAAATCCTCAGCTCGACCCTTTAAGGGATCTTCCCGTACCCACACCTGAAGTAGGGAGCGGGTCACCCTAAACAGCGCGGCTGGGTGGTTCTCTGCAGATGCAATAAGAGCGGAGAAGTAGCTAGACTTCGCCACTCTTATCGCCACTAGGTAGGTCTTAATATAAGATCTCACCGTGTTCGGTCAGATTCAGATCGGCTTGTCCTCCAATCGCTCTCCAGGCGTCTTTTCCGATGCTTCATCTCTCTCAGCTCCTCGGAAAACCAAGGAGCTAGACGAGATTGGCATCGGGTCAGAGGCCGCAAAGGCACGACGCGATCCAAGGCCGCAGTAGCTGCCCTATCCCAGGCGACCACCAGGTCCTCAGTCGAATCGTGAGCCAGAGTCTCAGGAAATGGCCCAAGCTCCATCAGGAACCTTTCGGGGTCCATCAGGCGCCTGGGACGGAACCATTTGGTTGGTTCCATCTCCCTGCGGTGGGAGGAAGTGACTTGAAAGTCCATGTGAAGGAGAGAATGATCAGACCATGACAAGGGCTTGATGTCTATATCCCCTATTCTTAAATCATTCAGCCACTGATCAGAGACAAAAATCAAGTCCAGAGTGTGATTCCCCAAGTGGGTGGGGCCTTGAACTACCTGGGTCAGGTCCATGGCCGTCATGGAAGCCATGAACTCTCAAGCCATCTCCGACATCTCACCAGCGGATGGCAGGTTAAAATCCCCCATAACAATAAGTCTGGGGGTTTCCACCGTCACCCCGGCTATAATGTCGAGCAGCTCAGGCAGGACCGCTGTTACGTGGCAGGGAGCCAGCTACGCAATCAGTAGGCCCATCTGAATCCCCTGACCCCACTTCACAAGGAGGGACTCACATCCGGCTATCTGAGGAACAGTGGCCTCCCTCGGGCAAAGACTTTCTCTAATGATTGCTGCCACTCCCCCACCCCTTCCCTGAGTCCTTGGCTGATGGAATGCACGGAAACCTGGCGGGCACATTTCCACAAGGGGAACTCCTCCCTCCTGGCCTAACCAGGTCTCCGTAATCCCTGCCAGGCCAGCACCCCCCAGTTTTCCTCCAATAGCTATCCCAAAAGTGTTGTAATATTTCTTTTGGAGAATTAACAAAGAGGGGGAGATAAATAGTAATTTTTCAATCATTTTATGAAGCGGAATGTTACACCTGGCTGGCGTAACAAGTCTTCCAGGATCAAGCTGTCCTGAACTTCCAGATAACTCCTAGTCATATGATTTTTCAAAAAGAAAAAAAAAATGAGGTTATAAGATAGCAGCAATACTATAGAGGTGAGGAATTCATAGTTACTCAGTGAAGCAGTTCCTATCATGGCAGATAAGGGTTAGTAAGTGTGATTCAGTATGCCCAAATATTTTCTGCTGTCTGGAGATCATAAGATGTGCAAGCCAAGTTAATGATTTATAATTATAAAGGCAGGAATATGCTTGCCCCAGACTGGTTTCCATTTTATTTTCATTTTAAGATAAAATTCCTTCCTTCCTTGAATCCATATTACAATCTTCTCAGCCACCAATGATATGAGTCTCCAATTTCCATTATGTATAGATTGGTACCACTACATGTGTTGGAACTGCAAGCCATAGATTTCTGACCATTTATGTCCTATCTGGAGGCAGCAGGTTGGAGAGCTCCTCTACCAATGGCTTTGACTCAAGGGCCTGCACCCTGAGTAGCTGTGGAACTGTGCATTACTATTTGTTCCCCATTCAGTTAGCCCCCGTTAACTGCTCTATTCTAGGAAGGGAAGTCACCTCCACCTCCTAGTTGTTTCTTGGGAGGAAGAATGAAGGGACAAATTGAAAATCAGGATCTTGGCTAAGGCTATACTCAATGGATGCTTAATTCACTCCCACAGCTGGTATGCTAGGAAATATCTGAGATTCCTTGTGAGGTGAATCTCCTGACGCACCAACAGAACAGTCACTGGAGAATGTAGTAAGAGATGCCAAAGGGCCACTGAAAAGACTTCCTTTGTTACTGATTAAAGTCTCAAAGCTTTACTAATGTCGGGGTTACTGGAGTCTTGTTTGGTGGGATGGAAGGAAAGCTCAACCCATCTGCATCCCAAGGAGGAAATTGCTAATGCACTGACAGCCAAGCTTGTTTTCTTAACTTCACCTAGCCAGAGGCAGGCATGAGTCAAGGGCAGAAAGGGTATACAGTATGTCCCTGCTCTTGAGACATAGAACATTACTGGGGATTTCCTGGCAAGATGCATTCCATTTTTTCTTATTTATTTGTGTTAGTCAAATTCTCTATTGAGGTTCTTCTTTGTAAGTGCTCTGTACCGCAGGAGCTTGCTTCCCTTGTAGATGGCAGAAGCCTGAAGATCAAAGGGAAGAAGTCCTCATCCTCAAATTAAATCTTTGAGAATATACTTTCCTAACGTCCTTAAAGGGCCTGTCCTGGAAATAGTTATTCAGTGATGAATAGCCACAGCTAGTTCATGTTCATAATGCACATAACTTTCCTATAGCATTTGATACACAAACATTTCCCCCAAAAGCCAATGTATTTCAAAATCATGCAGGAGGACAGGACGGGTGGCCTTCTCTCATTTTATTCAATAACCCTACCAGACATTTTGAGCACAGGGTGACTGACTGGCAAAAGTCACCCAGTAAACTCTTAACTTCAAATAGGAATATGCATGTGGGTCTTCCTAGACCCAGTAAAATACCCTAAAATGGGAGTTCATATATTTTCCCTGAAGCCTGCAACAAATGTGCTTAAAAGTAAGTGAAAAAGACGGCACTTTTGAGAAGACAGCAGTATTTTTGCATTAGGATGGGCGGTGGGGGGGTTCCTCTCAGAAGAGTGATATAAGGAGATTATGCTTACAGAAGAGGCACATGGCAAAAGTTCTGAGAAAAAGGAATGGGGCAATTCCTGGGAATTTACCTTCTCCTCAAAAACCAAGTCAAAACAAGTATTCTCAAACGATTTTGTGTGCATGTATATAAAAATCCTAAGTGGTTTGTAAAGGAATGCCAAGACATTCACACATTAGGCTCCAGGAGTATAAATAAGTCTGTCTCCCCCAAAATAGTACATTTCTTAAGCTGATTAAACAACAACAACAGCCTTCAGATTCAGCCGATTCAGATGCATAGGTGGAGCAACAATCAAAGCACGGGTGGGTAGGTGGAAGGGGGGGTGGGTGGGCTAAACATAAGAAAGAAGAGCCAAGAAGATTCAGGCATCGACCACCTTTGTTCATACATAGTCAGATGCAGAGATAACTGCATCAAAGTCTTTTAAGAGAGAACCAGAACAAAGCCACATTATGAACAGAAGATTGTCCTGCTATTGCTTTAAGCTTTGTAATTATTAATTTTTCATCTTGCAGACTTGTACCCTGATTGCTAAGCACAATACAGAAAATATTGGACAAATTACTACATTAGATTATGCTGCAGATATTACTACTACTACTACTACTACTACTACTACTACTACTACTACTATATTAATGGATGTCAGCATTTTTGAAGGGCCCTGTAAATACTAGCTTTATGATATGATTTATAGAAGGCAACCTGTCTATCAGTTCTAACTATCTACCCCAGATAAGAAAATCCCTTGTCTAATTCACACAGAAAACTATTACTATTCCCATCTCTTACCTGCTGCGGAAGAAGCTATTGTTATAATAATGGCAGGCTCCACTCTTACGGTTGCAGACTTTCTTCCACCATATGCAGGAAGAGTCAATCAGGATGCCAAAGAGGGTAGGAGCTGGCAGCCAGGCTTGAAAAGAAAGAAAGGGGGAAAAAACCTACTAGTATTTCACAGCCAAGTACACAACACTACACATTTTTCACCTTCACAAAAATCCCAATGGGCCTACTCAACAAAACCCTTTTATCTTTTAGTTATATCTCTTCCAAGGGAAAAATAATCAAGGAATCATCTGAATCAATATTGGATCCAGATTACAATTAATTTAATGTAACAGTTCATATTATATTTTCAAGGATATGAAAGATCACGCTTTGTTGATATCGTTCTCTATTTTGATTTGAAATTACAGTAAAACAAAACAGTAACATTGAAACAAAACAGTAAATTTCTCCAAATCCAATAGCAAATGAAAATTATTCCCTTATCTGAAATTATATTTAAGAAATGTGAAATGTACTGAAATACGAAGAACAATGGATTTAAGATCATCTGCACCTGATTTAAAACCCTGGGAGGAAGACATTTGTGCACCTTTGCATACGAATAAAGTTTTTACCAATATTATGGGAAGTACAATCGGTATGCTTTTGTGTCATTAAATTCTCATTTATTGTTTAAAACTTCAGTTCATCAAAACATCCATTGTTTTCAATTTTTGATTTATTCTTTTTCTTTGTTTTTGGATTATTAAAACTTGTGTTTAGCTAATTTCTTCTCCTTTATTTGTTGATTAAAGGCAAATAAAATATTTTATAAAGAAACCTTATTACAGCTAAGTGCAATATGTACATCTAGCCAATGAATTTCTGAGTCATCATCTTCTCCATTTAGAGCACACTGTTTTCAATAAGTCTTTGGCTCTTTTCTTAGCAATCCCAAATCTATACTTGGCCACACCCTTATATTCAGCATAGCAAAGAAAAGGAGAACTTACTTAAGGATTGGTTACTGGGATTGTCCTGGGTAGAAACAGTTATACGTGTGTGAAATGGGGGAGAAGAATTATCCAAATGTGATTCGAATCCAGTTCTCATTATTGGAGTTCTGACTGTTAAGCTAGACACTGGTATTTAGATAACTGAATTTCTAAGGCTGTTCAACTTTACAGTGACTTTGATTGCATTTGAAGGAAAATGCAGCCCAACAACATCTAGAGAATGAGAAGTCCTGTTCTGAACTAAATGTCATGTCTTCAAACTAGAAGAGTGTTTCCCAAACTTTTGACATATGTGTACCCCTTCTATAATTTTCGTAACGCTGAGTACCCCTCATAAAAAACATATGGTACCCCTGGGAGTACGCGTACCACACTTTGGGAAACACTTAGATAACACTGCAATTCTCCGGTGTTTAAACAGCTCCGCGGCTCAACATCAACTGTTAATGTTCCCGCAATTTAAAAATGGCCGAACCCAAGCTGCGCGAAGGATGCGCAGAAGTTCCCGCCATAATGAGTTGCGATACGATGTACGATGGCCCCAGTTCCCGTGTAAAAACTGCGATACGCGCCTATTTCTTTCCTTGTTTTGTGGGCGCAGCTAAGCACGGTGCAGTGGATCCCACGTGATCCCCACCAAACTCCGGTGCAACGCGTACCCCCACCAAACTCTTCCCGTACCCCTGGGGGTATGCGTACCACACTTTGGGAAACACTGAACTAGAATATGGAATTTATGCTCTTCATTGTGGCTGATTTTCTAACACTAAATGCAGTTCAGTTATGGAACGAACTGTACAGAGAACTCCCTTTTACCTGATAATTGCAAGCATATGGCTAGCCATCCAATTTTCTAGAATTCTTTAATTTGGATTCTTGTACTAAATAGAGGGTTGAACGTAATGGCCTAAATGGACCCTTGCAATTTTTTGAGTCTATTGAACCCAATACATCTGGTGGACAGAAGTTTCTCAATCCTCATTTTAAAAAAATTCTCCTTGGGGAAAAAAATCAGATTTAACTCCTACAATGTTTCTGTCCTGCTCTCCCCCCTCTTTTTTTTTTTTTTTTTATAATCCTTAGTTCATTTTACCTGGAAGACCATAGTAACTACAGGTAGTCCTCGACTTACAACAGTTCACTTACTGACCACTTGAAGTTACAACGGCACTGAAAAAAGTGACTTATGACCATTTCTCACACTTATGACCGTTGCAGCATCCCCATGGTCATGTGATTTACATTCGGATGCTTGGTAACTGGTTCATATTTATGACGGCCCTGGGGTCATGTGATCACCTTTTGTGACCTTCTGACAAGCAAAGTCAATGAGGAAACCAGATTCACTTAACAACTGTGTTACTAATTTAACAACTGCAGTGACTCACCTAACCAATTTCTCACTTAGCAACATAAATTTTGGGCCCAATTGTGGTTGTAAATTGAGGACTACCTGTGCACATTTCTGATAAAAACCTTCAAATAGTATTACCAACCTTTGCATGTATATGTAGCAGAGGTGGATTTAAGCAGGTTCTGACCAGTTCCGGAGAACCGGTAGCGGAAATTTTGTGTAGTTCAGAGACCTGGTAGTAAAAATTCTGACTGGCCCTGCCCACATCTATTCTCTGCCTCCCAAGTCCCAGTTGATTGGGAGGAAATGGGGATTTTGCAGTAACCTTCCCCTGGAGTGGGGTGGGAATGGAGATTTTACGGTATCCTTCCCCTGCCATGCCCACCAAGCCATGCCAAGCCCACCAAGCCACACCTGCCAAACTGGTAGTAAAAACCCACCACTGATATGCAGATGCAAATCCCTACTATGTTCAGTGTAGGTTATTGCTTTATAAATAATTCTAGGATTGCTGATACTCACCTAGTAATCTCATCAACAGGAACTGGACTCCAATAGCAAAAGACTTTTCATCATGGGACACCACTCTGTTTAGAATCAAAATACAATAAAGTATGTCAGAAAACCAGACAGGGAGAGCAATGATTTGTTCCTGATCTGGGAAAAGCTAAAAAGCTTAATGATGATTATAAATGGTTGTGGAACAGCTATAATGAATTAGTTACATATTTATTTAGCATATGGCATGTCATACATGGAGTAGCAATATATATTAACATTTCACCTAGATTAATAAAACACAGTAAAATATAAATGTTAAAAAGTTATCTGTTGAAATACCAATGTCAAGGTCATCTAGCCATTTAAGCGCAGCATCATTTATATTTTTTAAAAATCAGATACTGGACTGGTATATGCTCAGTTTACAGTCAGTCACAATGTGATCTACAGTTTGATGTGGGACGCAGCAGTCACACTGAGGAGAGGATACTATGCCCCATTTATACAGAGAGTCCCAGCAGATGCTGTGTGAGGTGAAATCCTATTCAGGATTGTCCATTGCTGACATGGCAGTTCAAAGCCTGAACTACCTTTTTTTGTGCGGTTAATTATATGACCTCCTACCGTAAGTCTGGGTGCTCAGTGACCCATTTGGCTTTAACCGTTTAGTTATTTAGTCATTTAGTTACATAAAAAGAGGGTTAAAATTGAAAAGGGCATATAAAGTAAAATATTTCTGGTGGCAGTACACTTTCTACACTTTGTAAAATAAGACCAGGTGAAACTTAATCTCTCTTACTTTTAGAAGGCACCTGACTGGCCTGCTGATGGTTAGATTTCAATTTCAAGGCATTTCAGCAAATATTGGTTCAGGAATTTTGGAAGTCGATTCAAATATCAGTAGAGCATACAGATTGGGAAAAGCTGTATGAAAGCATATCAAGGTTTTAGGATTTCTTTTATTTGATTCCATATTGCTATGCTACAGTTGGCATCTATGTTTATTACAAATTACGAATGTATTGCATTGGACGATCTACTAATGCCTTAGCTCAAGGATGGGCAACTGTGGCCCTTTTACAACCTGGGGACTTCAACTCCCAGAATTCCTGAGACAGCCAAGCTGCCCATCCCTGCCTTAGCTCCTTCTTACCGTAACACCATCATGTAGAGAGGGTTGTGAGATAGACAGGCAATCAATGCAGAAAATGAGATGATGAATATAACAGGCAACAAGAGATGGGCACAGCTAACAGAGCAAGATCCAGTCTTTGCGGAAGATTGTCCATTCTTGGTGGAGATACAGGAGCAATTTGTGTAGATCTAGTTGAAAGAAAAGAAGGGAAATCAATTCACTTCAAGATCAGACCATAACTCAATGGTAAAGCATCAAAATCAGAAGTACTCAGGTTCAATCCCTGGCTTTTCTAGCTAAAAGTACAAATGTTAAAAAAAACCTCTGTCCTAAATGCCCAATTGGTCAGAATGTACAACACTGAATTAGCAAATAGTTTGATACACTATAAATCAGTTGCCAGTGATTCATGACTTAATTACTTCCTGCCCAATTCACTGTTTGGCTGCTGAGAGAATTGTGAGTATACGTTTGAAGGAAAAGGGGAGTTTAGTTGTAGTATTACTCTAGTTTATAGACATTGTATGCACATTTCAAATTATATATTGATATTACATTTGTGAACTACTTTCTGAAACTTTAGAGCAGGAATTAATAAAAACAAATATCTAAGTAGATAAATAAATTAAAAAGTACAGTGCTGATACTGCATCTTAAGCAAATAGCTTTGATCACAAAAAGCAATTTTAAAAGTAAAGCAGGACTTCTAAAGCTAACATATTTTAGATTCTGCAATTCTTGAAGTATATATGAAAACCCAATTAATAAACATCAGACATTATAAGAAGGCTGTTTAGCACATCAATATAAAATCTGTGGTCTCAGCCCTATAAAAAGGTAAAGGTTTCCCTGTCAGTCATGTCTGACTCTAGGGCATGGTGCTCATCTCCGTTTCTTGGCCGAGGGAGCCAGCATTGTCCAAAGACAATTTCAGTGGCCAAAGGCACACTGGAAGGCTTTTACCTTCTCACTGAAGTGGTACCTATTAATCTATTTGTATTTGTATGCTTTCGAATCCAAAAATTATTATATACTGTAATTTTTATTACGAGGAGGAGGAAATGATTAAATACATGGACAATAAATATATTTACAATACTTAATTTACTGATCTGATGCTAAATTTTAATTTAAGCAACAAAATCAACTTTGTTCTGGCCTCACCCATTTTTAAGTGGAGCGTCCCTTTTCACCATACCCCTCAAAATTTAAATGTATCTCCTGGCCTGAAAAAAAATTGTTTACTTCTGTTTGAGAGTGATTATAGATGTGATGAGATATTAAAGAAATTGATTCTTTTTAAATAAATAGGACTCATATGAAACCTGGGGGACATTAAAAAGCTCGTATTGTTTTGATACTACTAGTAAAGCCATCTTATTGTACTACCAATCATGTATTTTTTATTATTCAGGTATTTCTTCAATTTTTTTCTTGAGAAGTATATTTTTTAAATTAAAATAATCAGAATTAAAACTGAGATTCTCTGCATGAAAAGCATATATTCTGAGTATTGAATCCTGCTTTAACACCATAATTAAGGAGAAAGCACTTGAAATTCCTGCAGAATGCATGGCATATTGCCTTCCTTATCCATAAGTGATTTGGCCATATTCCCACCCTGTCTATATGATGCGTGCTAGATAGATTTGAATCCACTCTGCATCCTTAACCTCTTACAATTCCAGATGTTGAAGAATTGGAGAAGAAACCAGTACAGCCAGCATGACAGGGAGAGAGGTACTCCACACCATTGTCTCCGCAGACTGGATGGAAGAGATACTTTGAGCAGGAGCAACGAAGGTTACATGGATCTTGTTCTGGGGAACTTGATGTACTGCCAGAAAAAAAAGGAGACAAAATAACATGGAACCAATGAGTGAAATATGTTTTCTTGAGTGGACTGGTGATTCCCAGCCTGTTATTTTTGGGTTCTTGCCATCTTGAACCTTGGCCTATTGCCGTCTGAAAGTATTGCTAACATTGTTTAGTTAAATCATATATAATTATTAGATACGCAAACATGTGTAGATAATTTGGGGAGCAATTTATTTGATTCCTGAAATAATCTATCCAATACAAGCCTGTCAGTAGAAATCAAGTGGAAACCAAGGGGGAAAATGTCAAAATGATATTGGAATTAAAATGGAAAAGCTTCTTAAGGCAAAAGTATATTCTCAAGGCAGAATCACATTCTTACAAATCTCTTTTTGAATTGGATCCCTCATTCCCCCAAAATTATGAACTCCTGACCAATGACAATTTAACATTATGAATCAATGGAACACATTATCTAAGCTTTCTCGAGAACTAAGAGCGGAGCCACTTTCATTATAAACATAGATCATACTGTGAAGTGGCATTTGCAAGTTGACACATACATACTATTAGTGAGCATTTATCTCTCTAAAATATCAGGGGAAATGCTTACTAAATATTGGGATTTGCTTGAAACTCTTCTGGGAAAGAGCTTAAAATCTTTTGAATGAATAAGACTTCCATCACTGTAGTTTCTCTATGCTCAGGTTCTTGTAAGAGTTAATGAAAACTGATACAGGATGTTCTCGATTTACAGCCATTCGTTTAGTGACCATTTGAAGTTACAATGGCACTGAAAAAAGTGACATGACTATTTTTCATACGATCATTGCAGCATCCCCATAGTCATGGGATCAAAATTTGGATGTTTGGCAATTGGTTCATATTTATGATGGTTGCAGTATCCAGAGTTATGTGATCACCTTTTGTGACTTTCTAATAAGCAAAGTCAATGGGGAAGTCAGATTCACTTAACAACCGTCTTACTTAACTTAACAAGTACAGTGATTCACTTACAACTACAGCAAGTAAGGTTGTAAAATGGGACAAAATTCATAATTTGGAGTTTTTTGCAGTATTATAATATAAGAACAGCTCTACTAAATTGGGCCAAAAATTCAAGTGAGTAGTTTACCATGGGAATTACTGGGATATTCACAGGCAGAGCATGGACACTAACTCTCTTGCTGGTTATTTCAAAGCAATTTGCATTAACTGCCTTCATATCCTGGAATTGGGAAGACCAACAGCCATCCTAACTGACAGCTATCTTTTCCTTCTATTTATCTTTTAAAGCCATTTAAAATAGTGGGAATTCCACCTAATTCCATAATTTAATTATGGATAGTCAGAATAAGCACTCTATGGAGAAGAGTTCATCCCAGATATCACACAGTGCCAGTGATATATAGCCCCATAACATGCAGCAAGGAAATGTGTAAGCATCATTGGAAAACATAAGTCAGAATAGCAAAAACAGTAAAACCACAACAAAACACTAGCTAAAGAATCCGTTTCAGAGTTTATCGTTTAACTCAGTCAACATATTTGTTAGATAAAGAAGAATGAAATAAATAAAATAAAATTTAAAAAATGAAATAAAAATCTAAAGGCTGGGACAAGGAGAAATTGTCAATCTATATATATAAAAGCGAAATACAACTCATGCATCATCACAAAATCTCCAGAACCGTAAAGCCTACAAACTTGAAATTTGCCATGTATGTTCCTCTTGGCTTCTAGGTGCTCACTAAGAAAGGATTTTTCGAAATGACTATCAGAGCATTAGTATTTCCTATATTATTATTAACACGCTCTGATGCTAAGGAGTTCTACTCCCCCTCCCCACCTGAAAAGAAATCTGTTCCAAATGCAAAACACAAGCAGAGGAGAGGAGTTTCAGTTTTAGTTTTACTTTCACAGCAGCAAGCAGGGGATAGGATACAATAGGCTTCTGTGGGGCAAGCCTGAGGGAGAGAAGGGTAGAGGAGAGGCCGATCATAAATTACTCATTAATTTTCAAGCTGTAAGTGTCGATTTATCAAGCCTGATCACATTGTTTCGTAGCAGAGCACGGGTATTCAGCTAGTTCAAGATAAAAAGAAATCTCTGTGCCATGATTTTATAGCACTATGTTCTGCAGGTAGTTGCCACAGAGTACTGCCAGAAGAGTAGAGCGTATTACCTGGACAGATGAATTCCAGCCACGGTCTGTGAAGAGCAGCCCATAAAAAAGAGTGGAAGATAACAAAGGGTGGAGAAAAGTAACACCACAATGGTGAAACGTGGGATGGTTTTGAGTGAGAAAGCAAAACGTTTCATGATGAACCCTCCAAAGAGCATCCCTAGTGCAGCTGAAGGTAAATTCACAGATCCTACAAAGGAAAGGAAGGAGTCGAGTTACAAATCCTTAACAATTGGAAACAGTGCTACACAACTGAAGACAAAAATCTCTTGATGGAGATGGAATCAAGATGGAATCAGTCTTAAGATTGGTGCAGAAAGGATTGCATGTTCTTTTTGCATAAAAAAAACATTCTTTATTTTTATTGCGAGGATCGGATAATCAATTCTGTTTCCTAGCTATTGCACTTTGAAATTCTTATTGGGATTTTTTTTCTGCATATACAACTGAAAGAATCCTGCATCTTGCACATTAAAAATCCAGCAAAGGTAGACAATTTCTACAGGAAAGGCAACTGCAAACACAGGAATAGGCAATTCTTTTGCAGAGAATACTGTGCCCTTCCAGAGTTCAGATAGTTGTTCTTGTTTTCATGACATTACTAGAAGTTGATGAAGCAAAAGTGCCAGCCCTTCATTTAGGTTTTGACGAGCTAAATTGTTGGTTTGCAAGGTCCCTTCCAACTCTGTTAATCTGAGGCAAACCAACATTTTAGCTTGTCAAAACCCAAATAAAGTCCTATGAAACCCAAATGAAGGGCTGGTCATCTAGTCCAACCCACTGTCCAAGCAGGAGACCCTACATCTGCCACTACCTAGGATCAAACTCCCAACCTCTTGATTGTGAGGCAAGAGCTCCACCTCTAGGCCACAGCTTCTTTCTTTAACTCTTTTCAAAGGAGGAGAAAATACATGCAGGGATTTTTGTTTTAAAGATGTGAAATGGAGGCCTTAAGGTTTTGCAAATTAAAACATTCATGCAGTACCTTCAATCCTACGCCCCCCTCCTTCATAAAACTTAAATGAATAGATAAATATTGATGTTCTTCACTTCAAAAGTGACTTGGAAGAGTACAAATGGTTGCTGTAAGGTGCAGGCAACCTTTGCATGTAAGCCAGGGGGAAAATGACATTGTCTCCTTCCAACATAACATTCTCAATGATAGGGAAAACAGTGAACATGCTCCTCTCATTAAAAGAGTTCTAGTTCACTGCTGCCACATGGCAAAAGAGGAGCAGTACTGAGCCAATTATTTTTTTCACAGTAACAGCAACAGCAAGAAAGCCCTAGGCTCTAACCTCCTACACAGTATCTATTTGATGTATAGAGGACGTTTAATTTATCATAAGGATATTGGGTTATCAGGGTTCTTTGGTGCTTTCTGAAGTTGGTTATTTTCTTGCACGTGTTTCATTATCCAAAGTAGGTAACCTCATCAGTGCTAGGAAGGAGTGAGCACCAAAGATCCCTCATTTCAACCCTGAGCTAGAAATATTTTCTTTTATCGATATTGAGGTATTTTATCCATTTAATTCAAAGTGCCTCTTAACTATTTACAGCAGCAATACAGGCCTCAAAGGTGAAGTTGCACAGCCACTATATTTTTTTAAAAAAAATAACAAACATATGTATAAAAGGAAGGATTTTGGATGGATTGGCAACTAGAATGCGTAGAAATGCTTGATAAGTTACCTGCAACCACTCTACTGCAGATGCATTCAGAGCAATATTCTCGTTGAGAGAATTTTTGACGCAGATATAAAAAAAAGCATGGTTTCAGCCTGACATGTTTTAAGATTTATCAAATCAAGTTGTGCTTCAACTTCTAACTAATTTTCATTGCCCTCAACTTAGTGTTGTTAACAGATAATTTGTTAACAGATATTTGTTTGCACACTGTTGGCAGCCCACAGAAGATTATTTGCTAATTTTTCTATGCTTTCCAATTTCTCGGATTAGATTTTCAAGCTCAATACTGTGGTTGCTCTCTGGTGCCTTATTGGATGAAATGAATATGGAGAATTACCTAAGCACTCTGTTTAAATAGCCAGTGCTTTGTTCTCAAAAAGCCTCAGCCACTATCTCAAATTAGATGGGTTATTCTAGTTTCCTTACCAATGAGGAAGTTAGCATAAGAGGAGGTAACACCAAATTGTTTTTCCAAGTACTTGTTGAGGAAGGTAGCGAGCCCAGCAAGAATAGAGGAGAAGCTGCATTGTGTCAAGACCAGCAAAATGAAGAGTGGATTGAGGAGCAGTCTTAAGAAGCCTTGTGGGAACTCTGAAAATAAAAATAGAAGAGTATGAAGTTTAAAAAAGGAAAAGGGCTTCAGGACATGGGTACACCCAAAGAATTATTATAGCATCTTATTAAGGATGTCAGTTACAACAAGAAGACCAATTCTTAAGGTAGGTCTACCTGGTGTCTTGAGCTTAAATGGACTCCAGAGGATGGTAGAGGACAGGAAAACCTGGAGGAATGTTGTCTATGCGGTTGCGATGGGTCAGACATGACTTCGCAACTAACAACAACCTGGTGTCTATTCTTAAAGATGCTTATGCTTTCCTAGACTAAGGTTCCCCAATCTGATATTCTTCAGATGTATTTAACTAGGTGAAAATGTAGGGTTGAAGTTCAACATATCTGGAAACCACTAGACTGGAGAAGACCGGGCTTGATTGATTTGGGTTTAATGGCTTTCTGCTAAAAGATCATGGGAAAAAAAAAAAGACAAGAGTATGAGGGGAAAGACAAGGCTCTTTAGAATCTTTTTTCCCTCTTTGTCTCCTTTCCCTTCCATCTCACAATAGTGCTAAAGAAGTGTATAAGATAGCTAACACAGATAACATTTACTCATACTTTCACTGTCTTATGTTGAGAGTTATCTCTGAATTGGAGTCTAAGAGACTTAAGTCTAAAATTCTCAAACTGTTAAGGCACATATCTCATTCAGAGCTATATTCCTGTACCTTGTGGACTTTTCACTATGCTCATCAAGTAAAAGTCAACAAGCAAAATCAATATCAACAAAGTATAAAATTACTTTTGGAAAGCAAGCATCGGATGGGAAGAAGGAACCAAGGTTATAGAGTAATCTCTAAGATTAGCTCTCTGTATCTCAGCAGAAACTTCAATCTCAGATGCTGTATGGAAAGTTTGAGATTAAACTTTTTTCCATTCAATCATGTCTGATTCTCGTAAACTGCCTGGACATGTCCCTGCAATTACTTGGCAAGTTCCCCCCCTCCCTCAAAGTGGTTTGCCATTTCTAGCTTCTTAGGACTGGCTTTGTGCCAAAACTGGGTCTAGAATTCAAAGCCTTCCAGTTTCAAGTCTTATTCTTTAGTATGCCAAACTAGCTCAATTAGATTTATCTTATACGGGTGGTCCTTGATTTAAACAGTTCATTTAGTGATCATTCAAGTTACATTTGAAAAAGTGACTTTTGACCGTTTTTCACACTTATGACCGTGGCAGCATCCCTATAGTCATGTGATAAAAATTCAGATGTTTGGCAATTGATTCCTCTTTATGATAGTTGCAATGTCCCAAGGTCATGTGGTCATCTTTTGTGACCTTCTGACATGCAAAGTCCATAGGGAAGTTAGATTCACTTAACAACCATGATATTAACTTAACAAGTACAGTGGTTCACTTAACAACTGTGGCAAGAAAGGTCATAAAATGGGACAAAATTCATTTAATGGCTGTCTTGCTTAGCAACAGAAATTTTGGGCTCAATTATGGTCGTAAATCGAGGAGTACCTGTATATTATAAAAAGTCATGTGCATATACATTAGTTTACAAAGTACTAAACACTTTACTTGGAAATCAGATTTCTATTTTGAAAAAAAAACTATTAGAAGATATGTGCCAAACAGCTGAGTTAGCCATCAGTTGGAACTAGTGAACAATTTTGTAAGATTACTATACAGTATGCCTAACTGATTATTAGAGCATTTTTTTCAATCATATTTCATTCAGTGTGGAATATCTATTGTCTCTTGGAGTAGAATTTTAAAATTCCTCTACCAGCTAGGCCAGCTACTATGATGTCACCTAAAAATACTGAAAGATGAGTCGATTAGATGGCTATCTCAAATCATAATAGAACGAGTAAGAAATAAATAGCTATTTTTAGTTATCCTGCTTTTCAATATTGCTACAAAAATTGAATGAAATCTGGTATGGATTGACTTGAACTATCAAACAATTAATCCATATTAAACTTGGAAATATGAACAGGATAGTTGCTATTGTACATATTTTGTTGTTTCCCCCCTAAATAGGTATAATTATTTAGCAAAACAATCATTTACTTTTATTGGAAATACACTTTCATTAAAATTACTTTACTTTTGATAAAAACCATCAGGGACTCTTCCTCTGCCTTTGTTTTTTCAATCTTCTTCAAGATATCTGCTTCAGATGCTTTCTGATGGAAGAGAAAGATTTATTTTATTTTTTTTAAAATTCACTGCTGGGGACCAGTGAATTTTTTTTCCAGGTTCTGTTTTAAAGCATTACCACATTTTTGGGATTCCTCCTTGAAGACCTGAGATTGCTAAGAAGGACTGTTAAGGAGCGAGTAGCAGAAAGCAAAAGTTTAATGTGATGGAAAAAGATTAATGAAATACGGCTTTTTAATGTAAGAAAACAGAAGGTCATTTGGAAGGTCACGAAATATATAGTGACAAAGAGTTACTGAAACTGCAGCATGTCCAAAATGCAGTATCCAAGCTTATTTTGGAAATCTGGTGGCCTTGCACAACATTGGCTGCATTGGCTTCCAGTTGCCTTCCATGTCAAAATAAATTTGTTTTATTTATAAACTCCTATATGGTTTAACTAACATGTAGTATCATTTTTATCTTTTCATTATCTCTGGATCTATTGTTTTCATTATGTATATCAAGATGTTTGTCTATTTCATTTTCATTTCATTTATTCGAATTTCTATACCGCCCTTCTCCTTTCGGACTCAGGGCGGTGAACAGCCAGATAAAAAACATCTATACAAACATCACAGTTAAAAAATAAAGTTAAAATAATTTATAAATTTGGCCCATAATTTAAAACTTGTCAATTAAAATAAATATTAAAATTTTAAAACTAACCCTAAAATCAGGACAGACCGGCTAGCTGAAAAAAATAAGTTTTTAGGGCCCGACGAAAAATCCGGAGGTCGGAGATCACTCGTATCTCTGGGGGTAGATTGTTCCATAGGGTAGGTGCCACCACAGAGAAGGCTCTCCTCCTGGGGGTCGTCAGCCGGCATTGTCTGGCCGACGGCACCCTGAGGAGGCCCTCTCTGTGGGAGCGAACCGGCCGGTGGGAGGCTATTGGTGGCAGAAGGCGGTCCCGTAAGTACCCTGGCCCTAAGCCATGGAGCGCTTTAAAGGTGATCACCAACACCTTGAAGCGCACCCGGAAGTCCACCGGAAGCCAATGCAGCTCGCGCAGGAGAGGAGTCACATGGGAGCGCCCCGTCGCTCCCATAATCCCCCACGCAGCCGCATTCTGCACCAGTTGGAGCCTCCGGGTGCACCCCAAGGGGAGCCCCATGTAGAGAGCGTTACAATAGTCCAGACGAGAAGTGACGAGTGCTTGAGTGACCGTGCGTAGGGAGTCCCGGTCCAGAAAGGGTCTATGAATTTAATTCATATATTAAAATAACCAGAGGCAGTTTGAGGACAGTAAAAAAAGAGAGTTTATACTTTTTCAAAAAATGGCTAATCCAGAACAAGAAATAATCATTTCCCACTGGCAAAGTGAAAGTAAATAGGTATTTTTCTCTTATATAACATGCTATATTCCATTATGGACATGACAGTGGTAATTTAGCAAGATCATCTCCAATGCAATATTTGAGACTTACCTTCCCTTTCAGCATATATCGAGGGAAGAAGAAATAGGGAATGGAACAGAGTAGCAAACAACCAGCAGCAACGAGAAGACCCAACCACCATGCTCCAATCCAACGTGGGTCACTTGGGGTCAGATTTACATCCTCTAAGAGACATATGGGAAAAGCAAATCACAAATATCAAGAAGTGAAGTCACCAGACCAGACTTCTAACCTGGCATTTTTAAAATGTACTGGATCTGCAATTCCCCGAATTCTCAAGAAGCATGACCCAAAATCACCTTGTGAATTGTAATCCCATTGTATCTGGAAGGTACCAGACTGGAGAAATCTGCATTAAGTAATTTGTTACCAAGAAGTTACATTACAATTCTGCCAATACAGAATTGGCAATACAGAAAATATGATCCTTCTTGTTCAGTGGCCAAATGCCATAAAAGTCAAATTCTTTCTATTGTTAGAATCTATTTTCTCACAGACCAATCCATCACAGGATTTCTTTAAAAAAAAAAAAAAGCCAGCAATACTGTCACATTTGATCTGTGGTCCTGTTTCCCATCCTCCCTTCTTTAAAGTTATGGTCAACCACAATTATCTATTATTCAGTAATCCTAACCCTAACCCTAACAATATTTCTTTGTTTAGTTAGTTGGATTATAATTGTCATAATTCCAACAAACCTTAGCAGGACTTCAGCAAGTATTAGTTTTAATGTAAGTTAGCATAGCTTTACATTTTAATAGTGTTTTACAAATCCTAGTATTACTTATGTCTTTTTATAGTTTCTATCATTTCTATCTTAGTTATCTATGGTATTTAGTTGATTGATGGTAATATCGATTGTAATTTTACAGGGTCTCCCTCAATTTTGATTCCTGTATTTTGAAATTTTACATTAATAATTTTATTTTACCTTATTTTTTTATGATTTTTAATTTTTATTTCTATTTTACAGTTACTGTTATATTGTTAGTTTTATGCTAGTCTGTGATTGAAATGAAATAAACATGTATTATTTAGTATAATTTCATTAAGTTGGATTGAACAAGTGATTCAGAATTTTTAAGGAAAAACTGCTCTAAAATAATTGACAGGAAATATTATCTAATGACAATTTCTTAGAAGAAACAACCTCTAATGGAATTGTAAATAAAGAACCATAAGTAATGAAGAAACCAAAAGAAAACCTCTCTATAGGACCAGGCACCAAATATGAACTTCTGGTGAGGCGGAAACGTAGTAGTATCACGTGGTGAAAGGCATTTGTTTAAAATACAGACTTTTAATAGTCTACACCTGAAATGTGAGGTACAGAGAGGCAATGTGGCATGTCGCATTCACTTGTGGAATTGCAGTATTAATTATAGAAACCGTTCTATTCCGAAAAAAAATTCTAGACACCTGATGATTTTTTAAACTGATAGCCAACAATATAGTCAACATAGCTGGAAATATTAACTGGCCTTTCTCTGAAAAGAATCTCATTAGAGCAGCTGTCTTAATAGAGCCAACATTTGGAGCCACTATTCTCCTGAGATCTTAGAGAAGGGACCTCAAATCAGTGTATTTTGAGAGCGGACATCCTCTCAGCAGGAGGTCTTGCTTCAAACAGGCCGCAGATCACTGAAGCTGGCATAGAAAGTGTTGCTTCACATTGTTAATGAGCAGGAAGGAATAAATAGCAATCTTCAGATTTTTCCAGCTCTGTCCAGGTTTCCTGCCCTTCTTCATTAAAAAGCATGCAGGCAAGAAGAGCCCACACCCCATTTAAACAATGGTATAAGTTTCCTGGATGTGACTAGCCCACTCAAAATTGGGTGACATAATCAAGTGCCAACTAATGAAAAGAAACCCATTGCCACTTCCCGCTCTCAGCTCATTTATTTGCTTAATATAGGACAAGATGTCAGCAACCATTCTGAAATTCCAGTCTGCCAGGATGTTCCTGTCTGATTTACCTGACATCACAAACTTTCTGCTGCTACTTTTAACTGCTTGATCAATTAGGGCAGGTCCTTTCTAAGTTTCTTCCTCTGACTGTTAAGCCACTGGGGGCTCCTGCCTTTCTTGTCTGATTCTTTCCTATGCAGCATCTTTTCCCGTCATTTCTCAAGGTCATCCACATGTTACATTATACTTACTGTAAGCTTATAAGTCCAAATTCTTAATTTGATGCATATTCCACAAAACCTATTATAATAAAATGTGAATTTCTCCCTAGAAATCCAATGATAAATAATAGAAATGTATCAAGAAATGATATTTGGTTAGATTGGATATGGGAGAATTGGATAAGAAAAGACTGAAGCTGATCTCTCCATTCAAGGGATCCATCTTGACACACAGTTTCTGTAAATTTGATCTGAGTCCTTGTCAACACATTACATGCCTATTATCCACAAATACATGATAATATCTCATTCGAAGCATTATTCAAGCCAGAGTAGTTTATATATGCATATCCAACTGACTTTATTATGTGACAACAAAATTACCTCCTCCCAATTTGATAATATTCATATTAGAATAATATTCTAATAAACATATCTGCATACTTCCTACTGTTTCTGAACAAGGAGGCATATTTTGCTTCAAGAACAAAGAACTGCAGAATTTCACAGTGTCTCAAAAATATGCTTGCAAGTGGCAAATGGAGACAGGAACATATTCTGTGTGATTGTAGCTTAATTTCCAGGTCTCTGGTTATTCAAAGCTTATGTGTGAGAGCCCATGGCTTCCCTAAATTAGACCAAACACTTACTCTGGCTAACCCGTCCAAAATCCACAAAAATCTTCAATGCTGCAGAGCCAAGTAGGTAGCCAAAAGCTGGACCAAACACTGAGATGGAAAATAAGATTGCTGAAAAGAAAAAAAAAAATGAAAAAGTGTATTATTTTGCATGGAATATTTTTTTTCAATGATAATTCATTGGTCTTAATTCTTCCCAGACTTGATCTGAATATTTTTTTGTACTACAAACTAACTGTGTAGAGTACTGTGGTAAAATAAATTGTATAATTAAGACTTACTGCAGTAGATTGTTACAGATCTTCTTTAGCAAATCCACTCTTATTTGGCACTGAAAGAAACCCCCAACAATTTTCCTAAAATAAAAAGCATCTCCACTTTAAATTCACAAAATCACATAGTGTAATGCAGGGCAGGAACACTAAAGCTGGAAGTATTTGGACCTAGAGCATACTTGCAACTTATTGAGGGGAGTTGCACGAGGGGATAGATGGTTGACAAGGAGATAGATGGGGAACTCATCAAATTTGCAGATGATACCAAGCTGGCAGAAATAGCCAACACTCCAGAAGATAGGCTTAAGATACAGAAGGATCCTGACAGACTTGAACATCGGGCTCTATCTAACAAAATGAAATTCAATGGTGAAAAAAGTAAGGTTCTACATTTAGGCAAGAAAAACAAAATGCACAGGTACAGTATATGTGGTACCTTGCTCAATAGTAGTAACTGTGAGAGGGATCTTGGAGTCCTAGTGGACAACCCTGGAAATATGAGCCAGCAGTGTGCATCAGCTGCTAAAAAAGCCAACACAGTTCTAGGCTGCATAAACAGAGGGATAGAATCAAGATCACATGAAGTATTAATACCACTTTATAATGCCTTGGTAAGGCCACACTTGGAATATTGCATTCAGTTTTGGTCGCTATGATGTAAAAAAGATGTTGAAACCCTAGAAAGAGTGCAGAGAAGAGCAACAAAGATGATTAGGGGACTGGAGGCTAAAACATATGAAGAACAGTTGCAGAAACTGGGTATGTCTACTTTAATGAAAAGAAGAACTAGGGGAAACATGATAGCAGTGTTCCAGTATCTCAGGGGCTGCCACAAAGAAGAGGGAGGCAAGTTATTCTCCAAAGCACCTGAGGGTAGGACAAGAAGCAATGGGTGGAAACTAATCAAGGAGAGAACTAAGGAGAAATTTCCTGACAGTTAGAACAATTAATCAGTGGAACAACTTGCCTCCAGAAGTTGTAAATGCTCCAACATTGGAAGTTTTAAAGAAGATGTTTGTCTGAAGTGATATAAGGTTTTCTGCCTAAGCAGGAGGTTGGACTAGAAGACCTCCAAGGTCCCTTCCAATTCTGTTATTCTAATGTTTTTCTAATGTTTTCATCCATTTTCAGCTGCTAAATATAATTTTTTGCTCATGAAGTCTTTCAAACTAATATTTTGCATGCATAAGGACAACCGAATCCCTGAATAAAGAGTTGAAAGTTCCCATTGTCCTAAAAATGATAGGAAATGGCATAAGAGCAACAATAATTCAAGGACTTTTTTGTATTGAGGAAAGAAACATCCTTATACTATGCCAAATAATCTTTCCTAACTTATATCTAACTGCTGAGCAATCTTTTTTCCTCCAGAATCATCATAATATTGTATACATGCCTAACCAATCAGGCCAACCTTAAATCATTTTTAGTTGTGCCATTGTTAAAATAGTTTTTGTATCCAAGGTTTATATTTATGTTGTAGATACAATCTGATGCCCTTCACCAACTATTTGATGGTGGCGAAGGAGATGTATGCATCCCAGCAGCTGTTATGGACCTTATAAACCGGATTGCCACACTATGCTTATACTTATAAGCCTGAGCAGCAGCTGAAGAGCAAGATGGGGTGGGAAGAACAGCAAGTGAAGCAGGGAAGAGATGGTCCTTTCTCCTCCTTCATAGCACAACACTCAAACACCTGTCAAATGTTGTTTTGGCTGCTTCTGAATATTGGTTTAATGCTTTTTTGGAATAAGGTTAAGCCTGTATCTAAAAGTAACTTGACTATCAGTTGGTTTTTCTCTGAACATACATAGACCAACTACTTATAAAAATAACCCAGTGTTAAACATGGGTCTAGTATCTGTTAAAATCTTGCTTTCTCCATGTAAAAGAAAGTGATTGGTGATGACTTCCCAATGGAACTGGATATTTAATGGGAGACGAAGGAAATGGCCACTTGGTATTACCCTTAATAATTCTGGAACACTATGAATTAGGACCACAAGATCTGCTAGTAATGTGCTTCTGGCAGGATATGGATCACCAAGTGGGAATAGCAAATGTTACACTGGTCTTGTTTTCTCTTAGCATAAGGACTGGCAACTAACACTGGCATACCAATACTAAACAAAGATGAGATGATTGATAGATGACCAAAGAATCATAGAAACAAAACCAGGATGTAACTGGTTTTATCAGTTTTGATCCATACCTACTATATCTATTCCATTTTTAAATCATTCTTTTAAAGGCTGAAAATGGGGGGGGGCCTTAAGAGGAGGAAAAGCCTTTTGTCTCAGTCTCTTGTTCAAAATAACAAGCCTCCTTGAACTGAATCCAAACAACAAACAAATGCCTTGTTTTAATTAACAAATACCAAATTAAAACCTGTGGTAAAATTACTTAAGAGCATTTAGAGTTTGACTGGTAACTAAGCATTTGTACAGCATGTCTTTATGCATGTAGGTCAGCCTTGTGGCTGCCAGTTTCTCCCCTTCCTCTCTTTTCCTGCTTAAGCTTACCAGAAATTGCATCTAGTAAGAAGACACAGGAGCATCAGACAGATGGACAACCTGCTTCATCACATAGGGCAGAGGGTTATTTTAAAGAGGTATCAACACTGGTGCTACCATACAGCATATAATGCTGCAATTGCTGGATATGCTGTGGTGAGTTGGTATCTGGCAATTGCCAGAAGACTGTTACCGGTAAAGGCCGCAAAACATCAGTTCTGGAGGATCAAGTGTGCAATGAAACTGCAAAAACCTTACCGTACGAAATGCCAATGGCCACAGGTATTATGGCAGAAAACCTCTAAGTTTATTTCTTAAGATTCTTTTCATAAGAGAAGTTCATGACGCAAAAGCTGCATTACCTACCAGAACACACCTTAAGTCTGTCATCATCTTATCAATAGTTACCACAATTGAATATGGGTCTTACCTCCTTCCTGGACAGAGATTTTTATTGCAAGATTATGTTCCTGACTTATGTTACATCAAAAACAGTTCTTCTGCATCAGTGACACATCCATGACAGTTTGCTTAGCAGTGTTTCTCAACCTTGGAAGCTTGAAGATGGGTGGACTTCAACTCCCAGAATCCCCCAGCCAGCGCTTAGCAGATACCTTCTCAGCCAGCACCACACTGATATTAAAGCAATACAAACCAGACAATAAGGATGTTACAGTACAACTTTCAAGCAAATATTTACCTATGTACAAAGCAGAATTGTTTGGCTCAGCGAAGTCATCCACATAGGAAATTCCAAAAGGCTGGATAGGGACTGTTCCAATTCCAGCCAAGAGTTGGGCAAGTATCATTAATCCCCACATGATAGTGGCCTCTGCCTGGATGTTCACAGTGGCATTCAAACACTTAAATCCTCCTTGGCAGAGCTCTAATCTGGACTGGCTGCTTTGGTTATCTGTAACAAAATCAACAATAATTTCAGAGGAACACACTGGGAATTAACTCTTTATGATGCTAAATTCTTATATTAAATCCTATGTTAGCATTTTTGTTTGAAAAAGAAAATTACTACAGGTAGTCCTTGACTTACAACAATTCATTTAGTGACTGTTCAAAGTTACAACGGCACTGAAAAAAGTGATGGATTGAGGAGGTAGCACAAGAAACATTTCCTATGATTATTGGTATGCATATTTAGGGTCCAGAAGAACAAAGACTCATTTAACAACAGGGGCTCTGGGGGCACAATAACTCTCTTTGGGATCTAAAGGCCTCACAAGTGGAAAGTGAACATTTTGGAGGAGGAGGGGGAGAAAGCTGAAAACTCCCACAAGCACCTGAAGCACCTTATGCTGGCTAACACTCATTCAGAATAATCCTTTGTAAGAGCAACATCATGGGTGGTAACAACTGCAACTCTTGTAATCTCAGGGATCTACTAGCAAGATCAAGATAGACATGAAAGGTGAATTATATCTTTAAATTTGCTTAATGGTTTCTCATTCCTGGATTGCTGGAGAATTGCCAGACCTATAAACTTTTTTAGTTTAATTAGTACCTGTCATCAATTGTTCTGTCAAGATATGACAGGGGTATGTTCAGAAATATTTTTGGAACTGGGGTTCTAAGGGTGAAGGGAGGAAAAGCAGAGACGCATCAAAAGACAAGAGGATAGTTATTATAGGACCTAAGCAAAGTTAAAACACACATAATGTCCTTGCCTTTCATTCAGTTTTCCTACAACCTAGGTCTTCTTATTTGTATTTTCACTGTTAGTTCAAATATTACCACAATTTTTCAGCACTTAATGAATTACCATGCAGGTTTGTGTACTTCTATGAATTTGAAAGTGAGCAAAACAAAACATGCTGAGCAGTTAATGAAGGGAATTCACTTAATACACTGTACTAACATTTCCATATAAATTAATTACAGCAACAATATTACAGCACAGGAGGCCAGGATGTAATTCCAGAATGTAGGAGCCTTCATAAAAATTTCAATTTTCAATTTTTTTTTTATTTATTTATTTTTTTTGTATAATTCAATTCCCACATGTTTGAGACACATTTCATGACAAAGTACAATTTTTAAAATTGCAACTGTTTGGAGGTAAATGAGAAAAATAATACAATCCAACAATTTCTTTTTTGTTTGTTTATATAAATGCTCTTAATTTTCACTTCCCATCTCTTACTGAAGAGATTCTGAGGAGATCAGAAAGGATCTTTCTGGAAAAGAAAATGGTTTACTGCCCTCACACACATACAATTGAGGTAAATATGTTTTATACTGTGGAATTGAAATGAATCTACAGATGACATTTAAGCGGTAACTAAGAATTGTTCATTAGAAACAACAAACAACCCTACTTAGAAAAGTATACTGGAGGCAAACTTATAAAAATGAATACATTCCATGATGAAGAAAACTATGTTTAAAAATGCCTCAATACACCTAAGAATATATTCTTATATATTATTTATTAAGGAGGTATGGTCCAGAAGATCATTTAGCTTGAATATGTCTAATAAACATAACTGAAAATGCCCAGTCTCAATTCCCAGAAATTCCCCGAAAGATGAGAGAGGTCTTTATTGCCTTTACCATTAACAAGTGAACTTTATATAATGACTTTGTCTCCAGAGAACTGATTACATCTTCCCCAAGATCTTCAGAACCTCTTCATTAGCCTTAATTTTTGTTTCTAAAGATTGTTTGGCATGATCATTTGGATGAAATGTTTTTTTTTCTGATTTTGACTAATGATAGTCCATAATATTCATAATACAGTAGCATTTTGGAACTATTGCCTGCAGCGGAGCATCGAGGAGGTAAATACACAATTTTCTTTGTTTTTCTTAGCTTAATATGAAATGGCCACTTCATTTTACTGAGAATAATGTGAAGGTCGTGTGCATGGTTAGGGAGGGAGGGAGGGAGGGAGGGAGGGAGAGAGAGAGAGAGAGAGAGAGAGAGAAAGAGAAAGAGAGAGAGAGAGAAGCTTGGAGCTACTTTCAAAGCAATTGTGCAGGTTTAGAAAGAGACTAAGCTTCTTTAATTATTTGAAGAGATAATTCATACATGCTTTCATGTGTTCTAAGGCAATCTTTTGAAAGATTTGCAGAGCCATAGTAAATAAAAATCCACAATCTAGGTAATAACATTTTTGCTGAATCTTCTGCCAAGATCTTTCTTACCAAATTCATAAGCATTTTCAAGATCATAGCGTTTTCTATAAAGGTACTTTCCAGTAATTTTATTCCATCATGGTTTGCATAAAGATGGCTCTGTAAAATGAGAGTTATAACAAAAATCTCGAGAAAATGCTGTAAGATGTTATGCTTGTGCTTGTCAGTGACTGTGAATATCCAGATTTCTTCTTCCAGGAACAAATGAGAATAATGTTTTCCTGCATACTTGCTGGATACTTTATAGATAAATATCATGACCGCATAAAAGATACTATTACATGTTTAGAAGTTTAGGAGACGCCAAATGTACCTGTCAATGCTTCCTAAATGAATTATCTTACCCATCATCCTGAGTTGTTTTTTGATGAATAGCATACTGTTTACAAATTCAGAATTTGAATCCAAATCCTTGGCGACTGAGCAATCAAATCCAGCTGATTTCACTAGAAACAATTGCTCCTGCCAACCAGATGTTGAACTCTTTTCGAGTAAGTACATCAGGCTCCTTGTTTCTACCTGATATTAAAAGGAAATATGGGAAATGCCGGAAGCCAAGCTGACTATATAACAAATCAATGTATAAATCAATAGTTTCCTTTTAAGTCTAAATAGAAATGAGCAATAATACGGAAGTTTAAAACATAATGCACTATAGCAATATTAAAGTAGAGGAAAAAAAGAACCAAAAAGAGAGGGCAATAATAATTTTTTTCTTAGGCACATTTTTTTTGTTTTTTAATTTTTTTTTTATAATCATATCAAATCTCAACTTTTGAATTTTCATTTCAATCTTCATCTCAATGTAAAGCTTATATATCATCAATTATGGCATTAAGCTTAAAAAAGATAAATAACATAGATGGATAATTACGATATATTGCTATGTATGTATATGTATTCTGTTCCTTTCCCTTTTTTTCTTTGTTTTGTTTTTCCTATTGATGTTTTCCTTAATACAGATAAAATACTATATCATATATATATTGAACATTCTCTTTTTATCAGACTTTTCCACAAAAAAAGCTTGTACTATGAAGCAATATCCTGATTACCATTACTTCTCTATCTGCAGACAGTTTCAACTCATTTTGGTAGCATCAAAGAATCCTGATACTTTCAGAGCAGCAATTCAATATATAGAACAATAATTAATGAAACCCAAAACTTGCACTGCTTCTGATTCAACTGGTCCTGATCCAGCTTGGCATGCTCAGAGTAGACAAGTCATTACACAGAGACTGCACATAGCCCTGCAGGGAACGTTGGAAGTTAAGATGGCCAAAGGCCAAGTTACTTTAACATGCAACTAACCTTCCAGACTTACCTGCTAGGCAGAATCACAGGATTCTGTGTTAAATCCCACAGGATTTAACAAGAACAAATCAAGAATTTTGGGATCCTTCCAAATTGAAGGAAAGAAAGTAAAAGCAAAAAAAAAAAAAAAAAAAGGTAGGGAGCTCCACTAAACTTTTAAATATCTACAAAGGGCTTGGAGAAGAAAAGAGTTAAAGAAAGTTACATACTGATTTGTGCTGAAGAATATTCGTATCGACCAGAAAGGAAATGCGGAAGAGTCAAAAGGAAGGCCCCTAGTGCCAACAGCAGACCTCCCAGGCCAATGATCCGAGGTCGATGAACTCGACTACCAAAGTAGCTCACAAAGATGATGAGGATGACATTGCCAATCTGTGGAGAGACAAAAATATACAGATTTGTTAAGAGAGTCCCAAAGGAGGACACAGGTTAATGACTCCACATGATAAGGACGAGGAGGATCATTTGGATCTCTTCTTTTCCTCTTTCATTTGCTTGTTTTCTGTCTTAGATAGAACGAGAACAGATTCTCTAATTGTGGATTCATACACACACACACACACACACACACACACACACACACACCATTAATGCACATATACACTGTCATCCTTTCTTGGTTTTACAGCTAATGGAATCGTTTTTTTAATATACAATTTTATAAGATTTTTTTTAATGTAATACTAATACAAATCAATATAAAGTGAAAAAGAGAAAAGAAGAATATAGAAATCAAAGAGAAAGCTAAAAATGCACAAAAGGAGAGACAAGTTTTAAAAAAAGAAACAAAAGAAAAAAGATGCAAAGAATTAGCTTCTGATCTTTACAGCAGATATAAATTCTATTACAGGTTTACGTCTTCTTCTATTACTACAGCATAACTCTCTTCTTTCTATAATCTATTTAATCCTCAAAGCATAAATCATAAATTCATTATTTTCTGTTTCAAGCAAAAAGTCTATAAGGGGCCTCAGTCAGCATTTAATATAGATGTTGTCATTTCTCTGATCAAAGAAGTCAATTTAGCCTCCTCAGCAAGTTCTATCAATTATTATATATAAAAATAAGTTCCATGACTTTTTTTCAATTATTTGTCCATCAATCCTAAAAGAAAAACATCTCACTCCATTTTGATATTAACCTTTAAATTCTTTTAGTTAATGAATGTATTTGAATTCAGAATTTTCTAGCTTTTGACACATTCATCAGAGATGATAAAATGTCCCTTCTTGTTGTTCACATTTCCAACATAAATTTGATTGTCCATATTATGGACAATCTCCGTTGACATATATTAATAGTTTTTATTTTAAAAATATTTAAGATTATAGTAATGTAAATTTCAACCCTTTCATCCAAATATTTTTCTATTATTCCATCTGTACATTAGAAACATTTTTTTTTTGGCCCAGCTATTGGAATTATTCTAACACATAGCCAAGAAAACCTACAATGCCAGTGATCAGGCAGGGGAGCTTGTAGAAAAAGCATGAAAAATAGTTCCAAGCAAAAACATATGTACTTGGCAGGACAGTAAAGATAGCTGTTTGTGGGCTAGAATAAATATGACCATGAAGGCATTTTCGGGGAAGAACATCACAAAGCAGACATTATGGTGACCCTCAAGAGTAAGACCACATCTTTTTAATATAAAAAATATTTAAGAAGTTCCTGTGTTTCCTACCGTAAACGAGGCAATGTGCTTGGAGTTCTGTTGGAACAGCTTTCTGTTGGGTGTCCTCCAGGTATGTGGACCAGCTCCTAAAATTTCTTGCCAGAATGGCCTTTGCTGAAAATTCTAGGAATTGTAGTCCACACATCTGGAGGCTGTTCAGTTTGAGACAAAGAGTTTTGATGTTTGTAACATATTAGTTGCAAAACATTTCTACTGATTTTTAGAACTGCATCTGCAGGCATTTTGTTGAATTTCTACATATTTTATAGTTTACAGAATAAATCAGTGGGGTCATATGACAAATCCAAACAACACACAATTTGTGTGAATCCAGTCTTTACATGTATCAGCTCATCTTAATGGGATCCACTTCTACATATACAGTCTTTTGATTGCCCAGTTTCAAGACTTTCCAATGATTCTCATAGAAAACACCTATTCCCTTAGAAAAGCAAATGGCATGGAACTGAAATTTGCAGAGATGTGTAAAAATCAATGTGTACTCAGACATACCTAACATACCAACAACATCACATCATGCTGACTGGTAGTGGCTCTCTAATGCCTATTTTAGGATGCTAAAAATTGAACTTTAGGCCTTCTTCAGGAATGAAAATCATGTCCTCTGACACTGAGCTACATACTCTGCTCTTCCCAAAATAAAACTTTCAGCTATAAACCTCTATACAGGAATAACCTTCATAAAATAGCTCTGGGAATTGTGTAAAAAAACCAGTCTTGACTGGCCAATGGGCTACCAGACACATTGCAATTGACTTTCCAGAATGTTTGATCAGAATGGCTAATATAAACCCTGATTGGAATTTTTTTCATTTCAATGCATCTGGAGAGTCATAGTTAGGGGAAGGTACCCTAAAACAATCCTGAACAACAAACTTAATACTATGGTGAGTTAATAGAAATATTTTAACATTCACCACAATGAAAGGTAAAAACGTTTGTCTTCACTTTGCATCTTAGAAGAGATTTATTGCCACTTTTAAGTCCAGGAGAAAAGTCCTTAAATCCGTTCCTCAAAAGAGGATTATTCTTTCCAACCTACCCAAATGTGGGAACCAGAAATCTCTAGAAGCAACAATTTGGAATCTTGAATAAAATAGGTTAAAAAGAAATTAGTTGAGAAGGAGTTCAAGGATTCTAACTCTGGCATTTTACCCATCATGTAAAGAGCCAAGGTGGCGCAGTGGTTAGGGTGCACTACTGCAGCTACTTCAGCTGACTGCTAGTTCAGCAGATCAGCAGATCAAATCTCACCAGCTCAAGGTTGACTCAGCCTTCCATCCTTCTGAGGTCGGTAAAATGAGGACCCAGATTGTTGGGGGCAATATGCTATTTAGTATACTATCTTTGGTGTAAGCCGCCCAGAGTCCTCGGAGAGTGGGCGGCATAGAAATAATAATAATAATAATAATAATAATAATAATAATAATAATAATAATAATAATAATAAGTAACTGAGCAATCTGAAAGAAATGCATGGTTATTATTGTAATCATCAGAAACAAAAGCCAGTAACCTACAGCCCTCTTAAACTTTAATTCCCATAGCTCCAACCATCATGGTCAACTGAAGGAATTATGGAAACTAATCTGAAGCATCTGGAAATGTGGTTGTACCAGTATCTACTGAATTACATTGGATTAATAGGCTACATATAGGCTATCCATTTTTTTCACAGAAAAAATAGGCATTTTTCCTATTACACTATCTAATGAGAAGTGCTGATAAAAATGTAACTGCTTTTATATTCACAGTTAATGTGAGATTTGGCAATTCTTTTTTCCTTATGAAATTATACAATACTTTTATCTTAATTTCTAATCAGTGATTCTGCTCTTCTTTTTATTCTTTCCAACCTACCCAAATGTGGAAAGAAATTCTGTAAAGGGCTCAGGATGCCTTCCATCAACGAATTATTTCTCTGAAAATCAAACAGAATGGAACTAAACAGTATAAGAAAAATAAGCAAAAGTCCAGTAATCTATTTTTTTTAATGGACCAGGTCTGATTTGAGGTTGCAATAAAAAGGTATTTCAGAAAAAATACATCTCCGAATACATCCATTTAGAGGCAATGCCTCAATGCTGCTGATTCCTCCATTCGAAGATCATTTCCATATTAGTAATTTATAGTAGCATATTCCAGACTTTTATTTTTTAAACTCAGCATCTTTAAGATGTGTGGACTTTACTTCAGGCTGGCTGTGGAATTCTGGGAAGTTGCCACAGTCATCCAGCCATTGCTATACAAATCTCATGTTATAGGTGGCTCGATGATGCTACAATATACAATAATTCATTGACATAGAAATTACCTAAGGCCCCTGTCCTGGATGCATTACCCAGAGTGGAGTGCCTGTACTCTACTCCCTATGCTTCCCAGTGCACATGTAGATGCAGATAGACAATGTTTGTAATACTACTTATTACTTCTTATTTGTAATTTAGATGCCATAGAAAACATGGTATCTTAGACGATCCACAGTGTAGAGATAGATAACATGTGACATATACCATACTCACTATGCCTCATTTTTACATTCTCAGATTAATCTGTGATAAAATGTATAGCCTATTAATCCTATGTAATTCAGTAGATACTAGTACAACCACATTTCTATCACTTTTTGGAAGTTCAGCTAGAGTAACTCTACCACAGCTTCACCCAGAAGCAGTTCCGCTGATACAATTACCTCATGTAAACTGGAGATAAAGCCAGAGGACAAACTGGAGAGGCCAAAGCGCTTCTCGATGGTAGTCAAGCTACTCTTAAAGTAAGCACTGTAGAGGAGTTGAGACAGCTGCATCAGGCCATGGCAGAACACAAACACCTGTTAGCAAGAAGATGCATAGTTAGATGTATTACCATGATGGAAAGCTAGGAAATACCAATATATACTGTATCTGGATAATATTGTTGGATGATTCTTTATATAATGTTTATATAAACTTAAAACCAAAGTCACAAACATCTGAAGTGTTTGCTTATCTGAAAAACAAGCTTTTTTAAAAATGGGGATCTATTGCCATACATGCTGGTTTCAAGGTCAGTGAGTTCTCATTTTCAATACTGGAGGGGGTTGTATTTTTACTCAAAGTGAAATGTGAGATTTCTACAAATCCAGGTACCTAATTGTTAATGTTGGGATTCTTGCTCAACTATATATATACCATATATATACCAAGAATTATGATATTGAAAGAAAAGTTTAAATATTGTGACAGGAGTTGTAAGGAAGATGGAAAAAATCTTTTTGCTTTTGTGATTTGTATAATTTTTGTCGCATGTCAGACTGACAGTGGGTTACACAGTATATAGACTGTGATTGCTGAAGGCATTGCCTTCTGATGGTCAAAACTTTATGCAACAATCATTAATTTAGCTCTTGTTTGACATAGGGATCATGTCTTCATGTTCTGCTTTTAACATGAAATAAATGCTTGTTAAAACAAACAAGGAAATCAATCTGGCATTAGGCTAAAAAAACCCTGGATTTATGTTATTCTTTCCCTCCAACTCTGTGATCCAGCCATATTTTTCCTCTCCTCCCCTACTGGATTGCTCTGAGTTGGTTTTTTTTTTTTTTGTTCCTTTTGAGTTTTTAACATTTTATTTTATTTTTTGCATTTTTGTAACTTTGGGCTAAATTTTCTTTTCTTTCTTAGTGGGCTCATTTTGTCCGTATTTCCTTGTGTTTAAAACACTTTTCTAGGATTTGACAGCTACAATCACAACAAAAAAAATACCTGCTTGTTTGAAATGTGTTATATTAATAAAATAAAGATAAAAATAAAGCATAGCTCCTTGCCATCATTTTAAAAAATGAAATATGAAAGACCCCTACCCAATTTGAATGTGTATTAAAAAAAAGCCTTAAAGAAACATTGTAGCGAAATACCGTATTTTTCGGAGTATAAGACGCACCAGAGCATAAGACGCACCTTAATTTTTGGGGAGGAAAATAAGAAAAAAGCTGATTGGCAGGTGGATCGGCTTCCCGGAATACCCCCAATCAGCTGTTCCCAGAGATGAATTTTAGCAACAGGTTCCTTGGTTGTGAGCTCCGTGCCTTGCTTTTTTTGCTTTTTTTTCTGCCTCTGAAACTTCTGAAACTCTGTTTCAGAAAAAAAAAATCCTGCCTCTGAAAGCCTCCGAAATGGAGCTTCAGAAAAAAACCTCTGAAGCTCTGTTTGGAGGCTTTTTTTTCTGAAGCTCTGTTTGGGGGCTTCTTTTCTGAAGTTTTGTTTCTGATGCTTTTTTCAGCCTCTGAAACCTTCGTTTGAGAAGCTGGATGGGGCTACATTCAGATTATAAAACACCCCCAGATTTTCACCCTCTTTTTTGGGGGGGAAAAGGTGCCTTTTATAGTCCAAAAAATACGGGGTAATAGAGATTGTGAGATTACAACAGCATATGTATCAGAAAAATCAGCAATAAAAATGAAGTAAGTTTTAAGAAGAAATAAGATAACATGTAAAATAGAATCACAGAATCTGAAGGAACCATTTTGGCATTAAGTCCAACCCTGTTCAATGCATGAATGAAAAGTAAAGCATCTGGCTGTCGAGTCCCGCTTTAACACAACCAGTGATTGTGATTCCATTCTTAACTGCTTATTCCTTTTAATGTTGCATTGCTCTTACTATTACATGTTTAATAGTAAGCAGATTTATAGGATCTATCTTCCTGTAACATAACTCTTGTCTTCCTTGTCCTGAATTCCGAAAAGACAGACAACAGGCCTTAATCTTTTTCTCTGTGACATTCTTCCAGATATTTAACTGGTGCTATCCCATTTCCTCTCAGTCTCTTTTTTTAGGTCTAAATATTTCAGTTGCTTCATGCCATTCAAAGTACCTTCAAGGTACTTTCACAGTAACCAGGTAAGCAAAATACGTTAGGGAGATCTGCTGTTCTACTTGCAACTGCATTCTCCCCTCCCTGAATCAAATGAATCTGGCTGTGTTGAGCAAATACTGGCTTTTAGTACTGCTTGGCATGATACTATGCAAGTTTAATGGCCAAGTACACTAGTTTTCTTTAATTCCTTTCTGGAATTTTTATAAAGAGATCAACTATGGGAATATTTGATAAAGAGAACGCAGTAGTAAAATCTTTAACCAAAAACTTGCTTACGTGCTGATGGTGACTGTTTGCTTGTTCGATATTATGTTCTTGCTTGGTCAATTATGGTAGGGAGAGGCATTGAAATATGTATTTTTGAGTGAAAGAAGAGCCAAAAATGATATAAAACATAATAGCAGGATAAAAATTGAATAAATCACTAAATAATCACAACGTGAAATTTGAAATGCAAAAGAGCTTTAAGATCATAAATTAAGAACCCACATTGCCCAGCTGGTAATAGATGCATAGTTTAAATAAATATTAACATGACATATACAAATTAAGTTATACAACACTTTTTTCCAACTCTTGGCTTTTCTAATTCTCAATTCCCCATTGTTGCCGATTGATCTTTTTTAGAAGGGTTATCATAAACATAATTGTTTCCAGTATTTGTTTATGCTTGACATAGAACAGGCATCCATGAGATCCTTTGGCCTCTGTTCCAATGCTAAGGCTGGCAATAGTAATAACATTTTGTGTGTGTGTGTGTGTGTGTATGTGTGTGTGTGTGTATGCAAACCTAATTTTTGCATGACATTTTTGTTTAACCAATGACAATAAAGAACAGTTTCCCAATCAAGGCCACCAGTAGAACATTCCTTTCCCTCTTGTAGCTCTTAACTCAAATAATATTTAACAAATATGACAGAAACACAGAAAGACAAAAGGAAAGTGAGGTTAGAAAAGGAAGGGACAAAGTTGAGTTTCACAGTTCGAAGGGAAAAAGAGAAATTCATGCCAAATCCTCCTCTATATTATTACTTTTTAAAATTCTCTACTCTTTCTTATTACTAGTCCTCTCAAAACTCTTTTCTACATAACAAAAGTGGCTGTTACTGCTAGTCATTTTCCTGACACAACTTATTACTTTGCATCATTAACTGCAAAACAGGTTACTGCCTTTTTTTTACTCATGAAAAAGAGTAGACTAATCTTTATTTACTCAGCTTTTATAATTTGGTGAAAATGTTCCAATGTTTTTATGTCAGCATTATTCACACATTAGTTATGAATGACAAACAGGGAAGTGCACAGTTTAAGAACAAAGGCTGTGATTGTGAACGTCCCCCAATATCCATAAGCAAGATATGCATGAAAAAATAGTGGTAAAAAACATTATCCTGGCCCACGAAACAGTGCCTTTTGAGATAAAACAGCATGGCCTACAGGAATGAGATATATTGGGAAGCTGATTTATGTGTATAGAAAGGAAAATCAAAAGCATTCCCAAGTTCTGGACTACGATCAAAAAAGCGGACACTAGAATTTCTTAATAGTATCCAGATCAGATTCTTGGTTCTTTTCCTTGGAATTCAGACTGACACTACGGAAGCATAGCCTACTGTTCAGCACACTATGTTTTTTGTATGGCTTTTAACAATTGTGAATGAAGCTGCCATGTTTTCACTGGCTTTGTTGAGTTACAAATACATTAAAATTATTTGACAAAGACTTAACTGGTTAAGTCTTAATTTATTTTTAGCCAACTTATAATAATACTAGTAAGCTCAGTTAGAGAGAAGTGCTTTAGGAACAAGAACATTTATAAAGTGAGCATCAAACAAATTCAGTTCTTGTGTTTTTTTTTAATTAAAAACTGATTGTCTTCCATATGCTGCTTTATACTTATTAGGGCAACTACACCTTAATCTAATGGATTTACCTCTATTATTTGAGCCAGAAAGAAGCTCTATAGTACTATGTATGCTCAATATGTTTTCATCTATATGCTTATTCATGATGGGGTCTAGTGGTAGTAGGGCAATAAAGTATTACAAATGCTGAGTCCCAAGTAGCGTACAGTAAAAAAAACAGCATTTCTCAACATGCATTGAGATTTTGGTTTCCCAGCCAACCTCCATTCAGCTATGCCTTCTGGAAATAATACTAGTTCAGTTCTATACAACCATATAGGGAAGCAATGAATCCAAGGTGTCCATAAGAAGGAAATTCAAGCTCCTTAACAGGAAAATGCCCTAATGTATTTATTTGAAGGGCCCATTTCTTGTTGCTTATTGTTGAGCTAATTAGGCTGCTATTTGCTACTAATACATACAGATAATTCAAAGGAGCCTGTATCAGAGGTGGGTTTCAGCAGGTTCTGACCAATTCTGGAGAACCGGTAGCGGAAATTTTGAGTAGTTCAGAGAACCGGTAGTAAAAATTCTGACTGGCCCCGCCCCTATCCTCTGCCTCCCAAGTCCCAGCTGATTGGGAGGAAATGGGGATTTTGCAGTAACCTTCCCCTGTATTGGGGAAGAAATGGAGATTTTATGGTATCCTTCCCCTGGAGTGGGGAGGGAATGGAGATTTTACCGTATCCTTCCCCTGCCACGCCCACCAAGCCATGCCACGCCCATCAAGCCATACCCACAGAACCGGTAGTAAAATTTTTTGAAAACCACCACTGGCCTGTATGTATTTGTGACTGGAGGGGCCCATGTTCTATATATGAATTTTGATTTTATTTTCACAGGTATACCTTTAAGATGATATTTGCTGGTGCAATTTTAATGTTAGTTTTCTGTGGCATTCTAAACTTGCCTATTCAGTCAAACCCACAGTATTTTCATGTAAGCAGGTAAACATAAAACTAATAAAGAATTATTTTAATCTTACATTAATAATTAAAGATATTTCCTCCTACAGGAGAAAAAAGAAGAGAGAACAAGCAATAATGAAAAATAGAATCCAGATGGG